CATTCATCGATTATTATTAACCGAACTATGAATTAAGCAGTTTTTTTTTGCTGGAGATTAGACACCAAAGAGAGATTAAACTTTAAACTTTTATTCTTATATTACAGTAAATAAATATAAGTTAACTAAAGATGAAATGGATGATAAAAACGACTACAAAAATATTATCTTAAATTTTGATGATATATAGAGTAAACAAAATAAAATATGATATTTAAAAAAGATTGAAGGAATAATTTTTAAATTGAGTTCTTATAACGATTTTATTATTAATCTAACTTCTCTGGTAATTTTTGAGATAATGGCTTTTGATTTCGTAATCCAAAAGGTAAAAAAGACTTTAATGAGTTGACCAAACTTTAATGATTTTAATATTTATTTTCTTTCTTCAACCAAATAATTTGGTTTAAATTTTTTATTAAAATTAAAAATTAAATTAAACAAAATAAATTATTTATCATATTTAAATATGATATTACATATTTAAAATAAATTAATAACTAATAAATACACATAAAATATTTTATAAAAAAATAATTATATTTTTATTTCGATCAAATTATATTAAATTTATGTTATCACTTTTATATAAAAATAACCATAACAAAAATTACGATATATATCTCTTGATAAATTTTTATAATCATTTTTTAATATTTCTTTATTAAATAACATTTTACAATTTTAAAAAACATTATTTAACAACATTACAAAAAAATTACAAAATTGTAAAAATCAATTCAAAATAAACCGTCAGCATATTATTTATTTTAAATTTTATATTAAATTAAAATTGAACCAAAGTATAATATTTGATCTTGATCAAAATTAAATCCGATTTGTTTTTAAAAATGTACTCCTTGGTTCTTACTTGTTTATATTAACCATATTTTCTTTACTTCTCTTTACATATATTTCATACATTAAATATTTATCTTTGAATTATGTAAATTTATATTTTTTTATTTTTAATCGTTGTGGGTTGCTCAATTGTCCCGAGACCAGTTAGTCAAGTCATAATTTAAGTGGGATTTCTTGTAATTGAGAGAGAAATTGTTGCAAGTAACATCAATTGTTCCATGACAGAAATTGAGTAGGTCAAATCACAATTGAATTATAACGTTTTGAGTATTACTCTTAAGTAAAAAGAGTTACACTCTAACTAAGGATTATAATTTTTTACTTAATGATAAGCGCTTCATAAATATATATATATATATATATATATATATATATATATATATATAGATATTGCGTTAAAAAAATTTAAGAATAATAATAAATTATAGAATTACCTTTTTATTACTGATATTGTTTTTTATAATACAATAATTTTAAAATAATAACTCAGATAAAAATACACAAAATAAATATATTTTTAATTATTCTCTACTCATCAAATAAGTAAATCATTTATATTTTTAGTACATTGTATTTAGAAATTGATATTACAAATATATAAATACTTTATATTTTTTTAAGTTGTGAATGTATTTTTAAAGATAGAGTTATAATATATATGAGTTTTAAATATAAGGGATGATATTAAATGTGATATTTAATTATAATGATAATAAAAAGAGAAAATATTTATAGATTATCTTTAATTTAAAATTTTACCATATAAAAATTATGAATGTATGAAATATAATCTTTCCATCAATGAAAGAAAAGTAAGAATAAATCGAAATTCTTTATTTTGACCCATCATAAACATAATTTTTCTATTTATTAAAATATGAATGTTTCACTTAAAAGTGTATTAAAATAATATAATTTAAAATTAATAATTACATTTAAGATATGGAATGAATTATATAAATAATATATTTAAAAATAAATTTTATTAAAATATAATTTTAATTTATAGATTTTTATATATTTATTTTATCTTTTCTCGTTATTTTTTATTTTTTTTATTTTTTATCTTACATCTTTTCTTTTTCTTTTTTTTCTAATTAAACTATTATATTAAAATTTAATAAAAAATGTTAACAAATAAATATTTTTAAATACAAAAATTAACTAATTATTTTAAAATGTGAGTAAAATAATTAATTTATTTATCTTAATAGTAAATAATTAATTTAAAATTATTTTATCATAATAAATAATTATTCATCTAATTAAAAAGTATCAAATATTTATAAATGAAATGTATTTTTTTAATAAATTTAATTTATTTATAATTAGATTAAAATATAATAATTAACTAGATTAGGTAATTTTTAAAAAATATTTATTAAAAAAATAATTTTAAATAAGTATTTTTTAATAATTATAACATAACAATAATATTGATAATATTTTTAAATTTATCATATAATACTTTTAAATATAATATATTAAATTATAATAATTTTAAATTATTTATATATTTTTATTTTTTAATAATAATAAAATATTCACCTTATTAAATTTCAAGTTTTTAATTGAAAAATAATATGAGACGAATAAAAAACAAAAGAGGAGAAAAAAGAAGAAGAAAAAATAAACACTAAATGGACACACAGAAAAAAAATAATAAGTAAACAAAAAGATTGAAAAAAATACATAAAAAAAATTATATTATATAAGATAAATTTATTTTCCTAAACCGTAAATTAATTTAAATAAATAAATACACTTAAAAATGTTCTATTTTATTTTTTTAAAATATATTATTTATAAAATTAAGTATTAAGATATCACTTCTTTTAAATAATATAATTTTATCTTTAAAAAATATTTTATTTGAAAAAAAATTATAAATTATTTATAATCTCAATTTCAAATTATGAGGATATCAAAAATATTTTTAAAAAAATATTATTAAAATAACTACTAAAATAATAAATATGAATTCATAATTTTAAAAAAAATCAAAATCTTTAATTTGAAAAATAGTTACAAAAACTATTTCTGTTGAAAATACACGATACCAACAATTTCTAAAATATTAAAATAAAAAAGTAAAAAAATTCAAAAATATATTATATAAAAAGGATCAAATATATCGAAAAAAAAAACGCTAGAAAACCATTACAAACTCCAATCCTCTTTATTATTAATAGTTTAAATGATGTTGATTATTTGCTCTAAATATATTTATTATAATGGAGTTTAACTGTGACATAATTATATGTAGTAATTATTGTAAAATAATAATCTCATCTACATTTAAGTAAAATCTGTAACAGTAGTATATATTTATCGTGATTTTTAATAACCTAATTTTACGTTTTCTTCAGTTAATATAACATACATTAACTATTTCCTTAAAATAATAGGTCACTGGCTGATATCAAATATTTGAAAACATTAAGTTTCCATTTAAAATGAAGAGACGACATTAATTTTTTAATTAAAGACAGTAGCACAAGTAGTGAATTGCTTCTACGTTTAATTGATGCATGTAAGCAAAAAGCTTTTACTTTTAATTAATTATTTTTTAATTTAACAAAAGATCTGGTCATGGAAGACCGTGATAGTTTTAAAATCTTAAAAATAAGAGATGGTGTAATCAAGATTTAAAATATATATTTATATTTTCGAACAGGCACTAACCGTGCTTTATTGCTTTGCTCACACAATAGCACGAAACAGTCACTTTCAGCACATTGATTCATTATTATTTGATTAAATGTCACTTCTTCTTAAAGATGTCACTGTGGAGTGGACAACAGATTCAACATCCACCATCCTTTTTTAAATTCTTCCTTATTCTACTATTTTATATTATTATTATTATTATTATTATTATTATTTAATGTTTAAATAAGGTAATTATCATATGTTTCTTTTCATTCCATCTTGTCTCATGTTTTAAGATTTTTTTTAAAAGGAGAATTAAGAATGTAATTAATATTTTTTTTACCAATATTATAATAAGTCTCTATTAAGTAGTGTTTAAAAGATAATTATTCAAAAATTCAAAAATAATTTTGTCGCAGTTCACGTTAATAATGTATTATTGAAAATCATAATAAAAATGTAGTAGTTATATTATTTTAATTAAAGGTAAAATAGTAGTTGGGCATAACTGTAGTATGAAAAGTCAAAGATAAAGTTGGGCCCGTGAAGAAAGTCAATGATTTAATGCACAAAAACAACGACGGCCTATATATGAACATGGTGCAGTTTTTATTTGGTGTTGAAGTCTGTGCCTTCGGTCTCTTAGTCACAGGTAAACGCTCTAATCCAATTTCGATTCTCCACCTTATTTTGTTCCCTTTTCTGTCTCCCTAAGTGTCTTTTTTTCCTAGGAATCAAATCTGAGGACCATGATGATCATCAATAAGTGAATCCGATTCATCTTCTTCCTTCACCAAACATTCACGTTGGACAGGTGGTTTTTCAGTGCTCTTCTTTTCTTTGCTTCTTCTGTTTCTTATGTAAACATCGCCTTTGCTTTTAAATATTCCACTCGATTACGCCACAACATGTGAGTATAAATGGCTGCCAATGCTGTGCCTCCTTGTTAACCCGTTTTCGTTCAATTCAGCCACTCCGCAATATACTTATTATTGTTTACATAAGTTTATTATATATTATTAACGCCAGGGTCTGGGGTCCTAAAACACTTAACAAACTCTCGAGAACAGAGAGACGCATATTGCAAGTCGTTTTTTTTTGTGTTGCTGGCATGTTTGTGCCTGAGTGACCTCTTTTGACTGCGTGATAAAGGTACCGTCTTTTAACAAAATAGTGGTTACCGTGATTTGGAGTGTGGTATCGATTATTACTTATTGTTTTTTATTTGAATTCATTGTTTTTTCTTTGTATGGGGTATCTTGTAATTCGAGATTTTACGTAGTAGCTTTTTGGGGGTTAAGTTGTATCTTTTTATTTATTGTTTTCTTGTTACATCCTTTTGTAATCTTGGTACATTTTGTTTTCAGACTGGTTTCTTAAAAATATTTTAATGCCTGTAAAAATAGATTTACATATGATAAGATTAAGATCCCTGTTTCTGCAAATTAGGTGGACCTGCGGTTGGCTGTGGATTTTGGACTGTTGAAATGGCTTCCAATGCTACATCTGGAAATGCTTGCCCGGCGCCTATGAAAGCCACATCAAATGGGGTGTTTCAGGGTGACAACCCTCTTGATTTTGCACTTCCCCTTGCTATTTTGCAGATATGCCTTGTTCTTGTGGTCTCAAGGGGACTGGCATTTCTTCTAAAACCTATAAGGCAACCTAGAGTTATTGCAGAGATTATTGTAAGTTCATTTCTTTTCTTCAAGTTTTTATCATCTAATTATTTTAGCTTATTTTTGTAGTTAGTAATCCAAATAAATAGCTTATGAGTCATTATTGATCACACTATCTGTGATTTGGCTCAACTCAAATTTCTTCTATGTTGGTAGGTGTATGTAAATTTTACCATCAATCCTTGCCAAGGTTGGTGGTCTTTCCTGACCCTATAAGTGGTGTGCCTTCCCCTAATTAAATTTTTTTCAATAAGAGAATTAAATATTAATTATATGTATTAGTAAGATCTGGTTTTCTCTCTTTTTTCCTCTTCCGTTTAATGGTTCTAAGGAGTTCCATTCAAAAGGGCCTAAGAGTGAGCAATATGACTCACAGGGATTGAACTTGACGCCATATACTTCCTAATCAAATTGGATTGCTACTAGGTTATGAGGCAATTGTCATGTGACCAGAGCTTTTCATGTTCCATATTTATATAATTTCGTAGTCTCCAGACTTCACTGTGTTTCACTGTTATAAATGAGTCTCATATTTAATGTGACATATATAATGTATAGTGCAATATGATATTGAATAATGCATAATGCATAAGTCAAGATAGATTTTACAACAGAAATACAGATGCCAAAATATGTACAATGATTTTAATATCTGTAGAACTGCTATTGACAGGGAGGAATACTTCTTGGTCCATCAGCACTTGGACGGAGTAAAAGCTATATGCAAGCAGTTTTCCCACCCAGGAGTCTTACAGTATTAGATACACTGGCAAACATTGGCCTTATATTCTTTCTATTCTTGGCAGGCCTGGAGTTAGATCTTAAATCTCTGCGTCGATCTGGAAATCGAGTCCTTGCTATTGCTATGGCTGGAATAAGCTTACCCTTTGTAATGGGTATTGGTTCATCATTTGTTCTAAAACAATCAATTGCCAAAGGTTCAGATACTGCCGCATTCCTTGTATTCATGGGTGTTGCTCTGTCCATAACTGCATTCCCTGTATTAGCCCGTATTTTGGCCGAGTTAAAACTTCTAACCACAAATGTTGGCAGAACAGCTATGTCAGCTGCAGCACTTAATGATATAGCTGCCTGGATTCTGCTTGCTCTGGCTGTTGCCTTGTCAGGCCATGAGCGATCTCCACTTGTGACATTGTGGGTCTTCTTAGCGGGGTGTGGTTTTGTCATTTGTGCAATAATCATTGTCCCTCCAATTTTCAAATGGATGAGCCAACGATGCCATGAAGGTGAACCAGTTGAAGAGGTATACATATGTGCAACATTAGCTGCTGTTCTGGCTGCTGGGTTTGTCACAGATGCTATTGGAATTCATGCCATGTTTGGTGCTTTTGTTGTTGGAATTTTGGTCCCTAATGATGGACCATTTGCTAGTGCTCTTGTGGAGAAAGTAGAGGATCTTGTGTCTGGTCTATTTCTCCCTCTCTATTTTGTGTCAAGTGGATTGAAGACCAATGTAGCCACCATCAAGGGGCTGCAATCATGGGGTCTTCTGGCTTTTGTTATATTTACAGCTTCTTTTGGAAAGATTCTTGGGACTGTCGTTGTTTCCCTTTTCTGTAAAGTACCTTTTAACGAGGCTTTGACGTTGGGGTTCTTAATGAATTGCAAAGGCCTAGTTGAATTAATAGTCCTCAACATTGGTAAAGATAGAAAGGTATTTCAGTTTTCTTGCTCTCAATATTCCCTATAATCAGTTTAACAAGGTACACTTTCCTATCTATTAACATCAAATATTTAATATATGCATTTACAGGTTTTGAATGATCAGACCTTCGCCATTATGGTTCTTATGGCTGTCTTCACTACCTTCGTCACCACTCCTCTTGTGACTGTTGTGTATAAGCCTGCGAGGAAGGGAAGAATAGCTGATTACAAATATAGAACAATTGGGAGGAAAAATGCAAATAGCCAACTGAGGATTCTTGCCTGCTTCAATGGTGCAAAAAATATTCCATCAATGATAAATTTGATCGAGGCTTCAAGAGGAGTTCAGAAGCGTGATGCTCTTTGTGTGTATGCAATGCACCTTAAAGAATTCTCTGAGAGGTCCTCATCTATACTAATGGTACATAAGGCAAGAAGAAATGGGTTGCCATTCTGGAACAAAGGTTGTCATGCAGATTCTAACCATGTTACTGTAGCGTTTGAGGCTTACAGGCAACTAAGTCAAGTGTCTATCCGGCCAATGATCGCCATTTCATCTATGTCTAACATACATCAAGACATTTGTGCAACTGCTGAGAGGAAGGGTGCCGCAGTCATTATTCTTCCATTTCATAAGCATCAAAGTTTGGATGGTTCACTAAATATCACTAGAAACGATTTTCGATGGGTTAATAAAAGGGTACTTGAGCATGCACCATGCTCAGTTGGAATTTTTGTTGATCGTGGGCTTGGTGGTACATCCCATGTTTCTGCGAGTAGTGTTTCTTATCGTGTTACGGTGCTTTTCTTTGGTGGTGGTGATGATCATGAGGCCCTTGCTTACGGAGGTCGTATGGCTGAACACCCTGGCATCAGCTTGGTGGTTATTCGCTTTGTAGTTGAACCAACGAATGAAGGAGAGGTTGTAAGAGTTGACGTGGGTGACTCCTCCTCTAGCCCCATATTAATCTCACAGGATCAGGAAATTCTCGATGAATTTAGGGTGAAAATAGCCCATGATGACTCCATCATCTATGAAGAGAGAATAGTTAAAAATGCTGCAGAAACAGTTGCTATTATCCGCGAGTTTAATAGCTCCAATCTGTTTCTTGTGGGTTCAAGGCCAGTCAGTGAAGTTGCCTGTGTTCTGACAAGCAGTGAATATCCTGAACTAGGACCTGTTGGTGGTTTGTTGGCATCACCAGATTTCCCCACAACAGCATCCGTTTTGGTAATGCAACAGTATCACAATGGGGCGCCAATAAATTTGACCTCAGAAATGGAGGAACACTTACCAGGTAGGGATTCAGAATCTTCTTAACGGTTCTCCAACTTTGTTTAGGCTTTTCTTGAACTCCATGCAGCTTTGCCTCGCAATATATACTTCATAGTTCAAAATTTGACCACCAAAAAATAAAAAAGTTCAGAATTTTAATTTCCTTAGGATTGGAATTGATTTAGAATTAATAGTTTTATGGTAGGACTGAGTTGTCTGAAGATTTATGATGTATAATTTGGATTCTAGCTTCAATTCCGATTCTCTAGTCTTGTAGTAAAATCTACTCTATCAATATTAAAGAAATACCCTGTTTAGCTTCTACTTTTCTAGACTTCTTGTTTTACTCTTCTACTGTTAGTCACCCCTTTGATCTATTTTCAACTTCCCAAATCATTACAAAACACATACAACAAATCTAACAACAGAGATATATAAAATGGGAACACACAGAAATGGTTGACAATTTAAATTTTATATTTTGATATTTTTTTTTATAATATTGATGAGTTTTGTAAGTAGATCTGATAATTAAAAAGAGATCATCAAAATGTATTTTTAATCGATTTAACAAAAAAATGTTCGATGAGGGGGATATAGGTTACACTATAAATAATTTCGACCAGGATGTTACTTTCGTTAATTCAACCAATGAATTGTTACAATTTATCTCAGATTGTAAAAGTTTTTAACGCTAATAAATTGATAATTAAAGACTTTTTTTTTAAAACATTTAAAAAATACACATGTTATCAAACTTAGTTGAGAAATTGAAGGTAAAAAAATTTATAGTCAAATCTCTCGTTATTTTTATTATATAAATAGTGATATATTTTAAAAAAAATAAGAAAAATTATGAATTCTCTAATTTAATGATTATTTACTATATTTATTTATATATTAATAATTTTATTTTTTTAAAGTTTATTTAATTTTATATTTTTTATATAATTTATGATTTTTATCTTTAATGATCATTATTATTTAATATTTAATATTTTTTATATTTATTTATTATTTATTAATAATATATTATTTGACTCTTATAAAGATTACTAATTAAAAAAAGTGTGAATGTAAAGGGATTCTTAAGTAAGAAATGGTTGAAAAATTTAAATGGAATTGCAATTGGAATAAATATATAAAAAATTGTGGATTGAAATAGAAACGGCTTCATACTTCTGGTCCTCTCTTCGTTATGATTTCAAAATTGTTTACTACTTTGATTACCAAACAAGTAGCTCATGTGACAATAAAATGAATCACGGGATTTTACTCTGAAGTGGATGGTGACGCATTCATTGAGCGAATATTATACAAGATGATGAAAACAAGCTCCATAAACCCGCTTCAACTTAACGTACTTTGAGCTGTAAAGTTTTAAATTGTTTGTCACATGCTCGTCACCATCTTGCTTTATCAAAGGGAGGTTGCTCACCTGAACACCATCAAGCTTTTTTCACGTCACTGCAACAATCAAATAGTAGGATAAATTAATTCATAAATACGTTAAATATACACAAAAATTTGTAATATTTAATCTTTCTAATATTTTTCATAAAAAGCCTTTGTCACAGACACAGGAGCATCGCGTCATGTTTGCTATTCTTTAACTTTTTTTATAACGTTATAAGAAAATTAAATATATTTTCATAAAATTACTACATGATAAGAATGCCAAAACTAACATGAGTTGTACAATATTTTTCTCTAAATCTCTCTAAGATATGTTTTTTTATTCCTGATTTTACCTTAAATTTTTTACTTATATTTTAAAATTAATAAATACTTTGCAATGCAAATTCATTTTTCTGAACTCGAAACTCAAATTTAGTATTTCAAATCTTTGAGGGTGATTAGTGAAACTAATTTGAGTTCATAATTATATGCAAAGAAAATCATTTCATCATGTGGATATATATAGTTTAAATAATTATTATGCTTTCAAAAGTTAAGACACGTCTTGAAAAATTATTTATGATATAAAAAATATCTCTTTATTAATAATAAGAACGTTGAATTTTTTTAGATTTGTCTTATGTCCAACTGAAGAAAATTATTTTAATGACAATGAAAGAATAATTTGATATGCTAATAATATATTTTTAAAAATTTATCTAAATCAATTATTTTTAAGATAAAATAATAATAAAAAGTTATTAGAATCATGACGACTTTTGCATTAAAAAAAAGCGTATTTCCAATGAAATCGTATTTTATAACATAATTTATCTATTTGAAAATTTTTAAAATTCATCTATTAAATTTTTTTTAAAGATAATTACCCTTTTAATAAATTGACCCATAGCTTAAGACATGCTATGAATTTATATTTTTTTAGAAAAGATTAAAAAGAGAGAGTTTTTTTTAGTGTTGATAAAATGTTTGAAGGCAGATTATTAACATAGTTGTTGTATTTTTTTCTGTTACAAAATAATTGATATTTTCTGTGTGTATCCAAATATTGATAACAAAATATTAAATATTTATCGAATGAACGAATTCCAAATCTTTAATAACTACGGGTTTACTGTATCTGGAGAAACCGAAGCCCAAATAAATTTATAAATGCGAAGTTGGGTTCTGATTGAGCCCAATAAAGTGTGTAGACACAGTTACTTTTCAAGAAAATAATGTTTGGAAAATATCATAAGCGGGGGATAGTTGGTTGGTGACCGGTGGCGCGAGGCTTATCAGTATCGAAGCCAGAAGCAGAGCGGAGCGCCATTGAAATTAGAAATTCGAAATGCACTCTCTCTCTCTCACAAACACCTTCCTACGCTCACATTCACTCTCTTCCTTCCCCAAACCGTTCACCTCATCTTCTTTTCTTCTTCTTCTTCCTCCTCCCACTCTTCGCAGCTCTAAGAGGCTGCAATCCTCAATTTTCGCCACCTCTTCACCAATCTCCCCAAATGAAACGAAATTCCCAATGCAGGGACTCGCTCCTGCTTACAAGAATTCCAACAATTCGCTTGAATCGCTTGCTCGTGTCTCCAATTGGAAATTCCCCTTAGCTCCAACTGCTAATGCTGATTTATCCGTCAGGCTTCTCAAGTTTATGATGCTCTTCGGCTTCCTCACATGCCAACACTCTTATCCCGCACTTGCTGCTTCTGAATTTTCCAATGCTTTCAGTTCATCTCCTATACTTGGGGATATTGATGACATAAGCACAGGTTTTGCTTCAGTTAGGAAAATCTCCCTGCCACTTTTCTAATTACAATGCATTATAAAAATTAAATAAAATAAAGCATAATATGAAGTACCGGAATTCATTGCATTTGACTATGGAACATGCAGCTTTTCTTTATCCCTATTTAATATTTATTACTACTTACTTGTTTGCTACTAGTTACAGGTTTACATTGTACTCTGTTATTCTTTAACCATTTTAAGTGATTAGGATCACTTGGATGTAAAATATTGTGCTACTCAAAGACTAATATACTTGTTCTTCTTTTATTCTCTGCCACAGGCGTTTCTGCTAATATTTTTCTCTGAACTGGGAGATAAGACCTTTTTCATTGCAGTAAGTGCACACAAATCGTCAACGATACGACATGACCCTAGTGATTTGGGTATTTGATGTTGTAATTTGAATGCAGGCCCTGCTTGCAGCTAGGAATACAGCTGGTGTTGTTTTTATTGGGACATTTGGCGCACTTGCGTATGTTTTATTCTTTCATGGTGATTTAGATTTCCTTCTTTATTTTTGTCTTGATGGCGTTTTTTATGAAAGTATAATTTTTATACATTGTCAATATTTAATATCAACTAATAAAATATCATTATGACTTTTCAAGTTTATTATAGAAGTCAATAAACTTATCATATGCAAAGTGGTGCATTTGTACAGAATTCTTCAGGCTTATGTTTCCATCTATAAGTTAATTAACCACATCTAAACTTACAGAGTGACACTTTTATAACTGCCAAGGAAAATGATAATTTGAAAACCGGAGAATACATATCCAGTTGATAATTATTTTTACTAAAATAATAATAATAATAATAATAATAATAATAATAATAATTGTATTATTAAGAATGATTGTCAACTTAAACGTATATTCCATACTCAATTGTCTAGATGATGCCTGTATCTTCAAATCATTAATGTTAGCATTTATTTGTTATTGGCAGGGCAATGACTCTGATATCTGTTGTCCTCGGACGAACTTTCCATTATGTTGATGAAATCTTGCCATTCAGGTTATTTTCTTTATTTCCTAGATTTATTTATGAATATATCTATAAAATATGACTTCGTCATATTGGAAGGTTGCTAATAGTTCTAATCATTCTTCACCTTATTATAATTTCATCCCAAGTTTCATGTTAAGGATGAAACATATGATGGACATGTACATTATACGGTTTGAAAATAATTCACTTTGTCGTTTTTCAACTTGTATGAACCTTACGCTTGTCATGAAACGGTTTTATCATAATTCAATGTCAATTTTTTTTGGAACAAATTTTCAATCATTTGCAAAAACTTTATTACTTTGTCATGCTTAAATTGTCTTTAGTTTGTTCGAAGATACTTGTTTTCTATAAATATCTATGCTTTTCTTATGTGCCTTCCTTTTGATTTGTGTCTTAAACCATGTAACGTGAAAGCAAAATTTCACTATCAACGACTTTTCAACAACTTCACCTAATAGATTGCTTTGCACAGGTTTGGAGAAACGGACTTACCTATAGATGATATTGCTGCTGTTTGCCTGTTGGTAAATATCACCTTCACGCTTAGTTAAATGCTAACAGACTGAAAGAGTTTGCTATGGCTGACATTATTTAATTTTCTCTACTTTTAGATTAACCCTCTTCTAAGATATACTGAATTGACTTCAGGTGTACTTTGGGGTCTCTACGCTGCTGGATGCCTCATCTAGTGATGGCCAAAAATCAGATGAAGAGCAGAAGGAGGTAACATTTGGTATATATTTATATATCATCTATTGCAGTGCAATGGGTTCGATTCATGGATAATCACAGTTTTTAACTCTTCAGTTTGAACTGGTTCACAATGTTTTATAGGGTTCCAGCAATTTTATGTTTCCTTTTTTTAACCAGGCAGAGCTAGCAGTTTCTGAATTTTCTGGAAATGGTGCTGGGATACTATCTGCTGCTAGCACAGTTGCCAGTACTTTTCTCTTAGTTTTTGTTGCCGAATGGGGCGATAAGTCATTTTTCTCCACAATTGGTGAGTTTTAAAGTTGGAATTATTGGCTCACCGAACATGCTGCATAAATGGGACACTTATACCTAGAACTATCATTTTTTTCATTAATATAAATTTTTTATGATTTTGCCATCCTTGGTTTGAAAGTATAGGAGACAAAAATCTTGATCTGAAATCCTATTAAACAAATTAGGTTAAAGAAATATTGATATTGAGAGTTCATGAAGCTAACTTATATCCTTTGTCCCGAAAGAGTTCGATGTCAATTATTGTGGATCAGTCCAATTTCAGTTTATATAGTTTTCGTGTTGAATTTTCATTTGATGCAAATACCCAGACATGTTATTTTGCGTTTTGTCAGGCGCTGAACTCATCTTCAGGATTCTGAATTATTTTTTTCCCTACTTTTCAGCCCTTGCAGCAGCTTCTTCTCCCCTTGGAGTCATAGCTGGAGCACTGGCCGGTCATGGTGTTGCAACTTTGGTAACTGCTTTTTCAATGATAAGTTGGAGTAACTTCTAAATATGGGGATTTCCTCTTTCAGAATAACAGTAAACGTGCATTGTTTAACATTAACATAGAATATTTAATTTAAGCTTCTGCAACGATACGTGAAAACTGGTTTCGCCAAAATCTCCGACTGAAGTGCAACAAATAACAAGGAAATGTATTAATAAAGAGCCAGGAAATACAAGCATAGTATAAACAAACACTTTTGAGATGGCTTTTCTTGACAATTTATTTTAAAACATCTTACTCCATAGTGTAAAAAAGCTAAGACTTTATAATAAGCTTTATTTTTGTTTCCTAATAATCTATATTTAATACTCACAAAAGCTCAAAATTAATAAATAAAAACTGTGCGTCAAAAAAAAAAAAAATTTTGAAAGTAAGGCTATGCTATATGGAGAAGACGACCTAGAGTTTAATTCGTGTAATTTATATTGCCTGGGCAGACTGACTTTTTCTTTGTTTCTCATCTATGTAAATAACTTTGGGCTTTAGTCCTCAATGTTTTTTCTTTTATGTGCAGCTAGCTGTACTCGGGGGCTCTTTACTCGGGACGTATTTGTCAGAGAAGGTAACTTCTTGCTTATAGCTTGCATTCCTGATATGCTGCATTTTGTTGATTCCAACCTCAATATTCTCCCCGTTGAGCAAACGAACCTGATTTTTTAAATGTGGAATTCTAAAGTAGATAGTTAACCAATATAAGTGAAAGGGCATAGTACTTGGAAAAAACGAGAAATGATCTTCAAAACGCTTTTCTAGTTATTGCTACTTATAGAATCTGGCTCATGGAGCTATTCTGTGGATAGTTTTCTGCCCTGGAATTTCCCCATTCTAGCATAAAAGCATCACCGCTATGAATAGCAGCAACATGTTAAACGTTCCACTAATGGACCTTATTGGGAATGAACATGTTCTTGCACCCAGATAGTGTTGGGAATTTTTAGGGTTTTGTGTATATGTATTTCTGATATATCATGTGGGTATATATCTATTCATATACTTTATGTATATATAGAGTAAAAATATTACAAAATATCAAATATTCATAATATCTCGATCATATCTGTCTAAATCAAAATAATAACTTAATGTCTTTTTACCTTCTCTCTTAAAAGATAATAAAATTTCTTAATATCTAATTTAAATAAAAGATAATAAAGTAATATTCTCAACATTTCTCTTTACTTTAATATCTATTTATTTGAATTTGATATTTTTCCTTTTATTTTGCTTATAATTTTTTCTCCTTTTTTTATACTTCTTGTCATCTTCTTTCTTGTATGAGATCACATCTTCATTCAACTTCACTTTCTTCATCAAAGTATTTCTTCTTTTATCAACTTCATCTCCTTTGTTTCTTTCAAACTTCATGGTAGTACTGTTGACTCTTTGATGAACGTTGAAAACAGTTTCTTCATCTACATCTTTATTTTCCTCCTTAACATCAAGTTCCTTCAAGAAATCTTCTTCATGCTTTTTCTTTGACTTTTCTTTTATATCTTTGTTTGTAATCATCTCTTCTTTCATCAAATCTAAAGTGAAATTTTTTTCCTTTCATGTGAACTTTGAATATTTCTAAGTTATTTATATCTTTAATCACACAAAGTTTGTGTTCAAAAGATATCTTATAACTTTTCTCCAATAATTGAGCAACACTTAACAAATTATGGTTTATATCAGGAACATATAAAACATCAATAATCAATTTGATACCCGAATGACTTTTAACTGCAATTGTTCTCATACCTTTCACATCCATTTCTTCTCCATTACCAATTCTCACTTTAGAAATATGTGATTCATTGAGCTTTTTGAAAATTTTTTTATCATGAGTCATGTGGTTTGTACAACCACTGTTTATAAGCCAACATGTGAATTTGTTGATTGTAGAGTATGTTGATGCAAGGAGAAGTACCTCTTTTACTTTATCCTCTATAACTTGAACGACTTCCTCTGGTTGTGATTTGCATATCTTTTCTATATGTCCCAATTGACCACATTTGTGACCTTTCACATCAGGTCTCTACCAACGCTTGTTGGGTGTGTGATTATTTTTCTTGCAATAAGGACAAACAGAAAAGATTCGTAATTTTGTACCTTTGTTGTTCTTGGCTTAAAGAAAACCTCTATCATGATATAGTAAAGAACCTTCACCAGCAGCATCATGATATAGTAAAGAACCTTCACCAGCAGCATGATCTCCTCTCATCAATCTTTGTTGCTCTTGTGCTTGTAAAGCATGTAACACTTCTGCCAAAGTAATATTAGACAAATCTTTTGTGTTTTCCAATGAAGCAATAGATGTTTCATATCTCTCAGGCACAGTTATCAGAATTTTTTCAACTATCCTGAAATAAGAAAATTTCTTGCCTAACAATTTTATTTTGTTAGCAATACATAACAATTTGTTTGAGTATTCATTAATTGTTTGAGACTCTTGTATCTTTTGTATCTCAAATTCCCTTATCAAGTTTAGAACTTTCATATCTCGAATTTTCTCATCCTCTTCATTTTGATCTTTCAAATAATTTCAAATTTCTTTTGGTGACTTCAGCGTCATGATTCTGGTGAGGATCATTTGTGAAACACCAGCAAATAGACATGATTTAATTTTTGTCTTCCTCATTTTTCTTTCTCTGTGAGATTTCATTTGAACTATGGTGGGATTTTCAGGTAGTGGATTAACAATATAATCTTCTTCTACAACTTCCCATATATCTAATTCTTCAAAATAAGATTGCATTCTCACAGCCTATAAGTCATAACTTTCGCCATAAAAAACTGGAATAGCGACTTGTGAAAAATTTCTTTCTCCTTCCATTGTGTCGAACCAAAGCTCAGATATCAATTTGTTGGAAATTTTGGGGGTTTTGTGTATATGTATTTGTGATATATCATGTGGGTATATATAGAGTAAAAATATTATAAAATATCAAATATTTATAATATCTCAATCATAACTGGCTAAATCAAAATAATAACTTAATGTCTTTTTATCTTCTTTTTAAAAGATAATAAAATCTCTTAATACCTAATTTAAATAAAAGATAATAAAGTAATATTACGAAGAGATAGAATATAACCAACCGAAGTCTCCCTCCTGGTTTGGATGATTAAGAGCACTGAGCACCTTATTTAAGCGTGCGAAAATGCTTATGCTCTTCTAAATATTTTGGTGAATCGTAGTCCTGATTTAATGAATCTTTTTTCTGATCATATTGTTTTTCATAAATTTTAATCAATACAATGAGTTCTAGAAAAAAAGTTTGGTAGAAAAAGTGTGGGCCTTCCTTCTCATTACTTTTTGCTACTCTAGACTAAACACGATCTTTTCAATCATTTTGAAGGTTATTGCCTACATCGGAGGTGTTCTCTTTCTCGTCTTTGCTGCAGTAACCTTATTTGAAATTGTGCATTAGTGGTTAAAAGAACGCAATATAATCTCAGTGCAAAGTGATCAAGAGTAGGGTTGTATAATTCTGCACTCCAATTATTAAGTGTTATTAATGCCGGCGGCTCCACAAGGAGAGAAAAAAAAAACCCTGTAATTTCTGTTTTTGCTGAAAAAAAAAAATGTATAATACCAACACCTATTGTAGGAATAGTTTATTGTCTTTCAATTCGATCCTCATAAATTATTTCATGCTAGTCATTGAGAATTTGTAATTTTATTTTAAACAAAAGATTTAATTACATAAATTATGTGAAATATTAATTAATTATTGATAATTAATTCGTCTATTGTATCAGTATTTGTTGATGCAAGAAAATGAATTTAAAATGATTTAAAGAAAGATTTTTATTATTTGTAACAAAAAATATCAATTGAAATATTTTAATAATAAGTTATAAATATATGTTCTTTTGTTTGAATTAAAAATTGAATTAATAAATTGAAAATTTAATTAATCTAAAAATAAAATCAATCTTAAAAAAATTGAAAATTTTCAAATTAAATTTTTTAAAGTGGATTGGTTAGATTTTTAATTTATTGATTTGATAGTTAAGAAATTGAATTAAAATTATAATATATATCAATAAAATTAAAATATAAAATAATATTTATTATGAATAAAGTAATTAATTTTTTATAACTTTGAAAATATATTATTAATTTTTAAATTAAATATTGAAATATATAAAATAAATTACAATTATAAATATCATAATTTATCATGTATAATATATTTATAAAATATATAATTTTTATTAAATAATGATTTTATTATAATATATTTATAATTTTATAATAAAAATCACATAAGTATTTAAAAAAATATTTTTTTAATTTAATTCGAATTATATATATATATATATATATATATATTTTTTTTTTTTTTCGAACTAAACTAAATCGCATGGCAACACCCTTTTCTATACTATCAATGCAAATGTGGGCTGATTAATTATTATGAATGTAATTGGCATAAATACAAAAAAGTTGCTCTTAGTTAAAAAATAAAACTGATTTTCATATAGGCCAAAATGTGACTGAAACCATTTTAAGAAATTCCGTGCTAACTATGTTGTAAGTCATGAACAAGGTTTTGGAAGGATTCAAATCCTGCTGAATTAAGGTCACCTACAGTTACTGATACTCTCAACGTCAATTTGATCTTCTATTCTATTAGATGGATCGATGTGATACTTCAGGATTTGTGGGTGGGGATGCATTTTAACACCTAGGACGTGTAGGTGCATCTAACCCGACTTTTGTAGATATCCAATTCTTTTTTACTGTGAAATTAGGAAAATATTCTGTTAATATTTATCTATAGGTATAGAATTATACTTAGTGTTTCATGGATGTGAGTTTCCAGAACTTGAGTTTCACAGTTTACCCTTCTGCAAATACATTTGGTAACTCAGATGCAAGATAAAGTGAAGCTGATTGTAGTACAAATGATATCTTAAAAACTTCATTCTCCTAGTTCTTCAATTCCAAAGGGAATGAAAAGAAAGTGGGATTTAATTGATGGATGTATGGATCAGAACATTTTCTCTTCTTTGTCTCTTGGACTTGGACTTTCAACAAGTTTCTCAGACAGCAAGGAGAGTTCAGCTACTTATTGCACTGCTTTGTCTTCATCCAAAGAGATTAATGAGGAATGGTCTATGCCTATGGATATTGAACTGGACTTTGCACTTAATCTTGGCTGTGAGAAGGTAGAGTAGAAAGCCCAAAACACACTGTTAGTTCAAATTTGAAGATATTTGAATTGCAGCCAAAAATTGCTTTGGAGAGTTGAGCATTTCCACACAGTCCTCCAAATCAGATATTACCGGTGTTTGTCAGAGTCCCTCTCGGACACCACCTCTTCAATTGAACACGGAGGCCGCCTTAGTATTCAGCAGGACACCAAATGCAGATGAGGGATCAACTTCATTTATACGTAAATCAGGGCTTGTTTCACTTAATCCAGGCGCTAGTGTAATGTTAAACCATGCTGAAAAGAATGTTCTGGATCTCTCATCAAACAGACCAAAAAGTTCTGGACGTTGTATATCTCATGGTAGTGGTTGGTGATGTCACAAAGCAAGCTGAAATGAAAGAGCTGAAGGCCGGACGTTGTACTGCAAGTCTCATGGAGGAGGCAGGCAATGTGAATATCTTGGTTGCACTAACAGTGCAGAAGGACGTACAGATTTCTGTATTGTTCATGGTGGTGGCCAGAGGTGCAGTCATCATGAGGGCAGTATCCAAGCTGCCAGAGGGAAATCTGGATTGTGTATTTGGCATGGTAGTGGCAAGAGACGTGAAACAGAAAAATGTACCAAGAATGCAGAAGGCCTAGCAGGGATGTGAATCTCACATGGTGGAGAGCGTCGATGTCAAGCTTCTGGTTGCACAAAAGGGGCACAGGGAAACACTAGGTTCTGCAAAGCACCATGTGTGGGAAAATGCTGTACAGCACCAGGGTGCACCAAAGGTGCTGGGGGACCACGCCACTTTGCAAAGGCCATGGTGGAGGAAAATTCTGTGCATACCAGGGTGGTGGAATTTGTACTAAAAGTGTGCATGGAGGTAACAACATTTGTGTGGCACATTGGAATGAGGTGTGGTGTACCTGATTGCATGAAGAGAACTAGAGGACGAGCTGATTTTTGAGTACGTCATGGGGGAGGCAAGAGATGCAAGTTTGAAGGGTGTGGAAACAATGCACAAGGGGACACCAACTTTTGCACTGCACGTGGAGGAAGGAAGAGATGCTCTTGGGGCCATCCTGGGCCAGAACATAGCAATCAACATTCATTGACAAGGGGGAAGACAGGTCCGTGTGCACTTCATAGTGGGCTAGTGCTAGATAAGAGAGTTCATGGAGGCGTATCCTCGGGACCAGCTATTCAGGATATTTATGGTAGGAAACTGGATGTACTGAAGCAGATAGTCATTAACCAATATATGATGGATGTGGATATGATCCAAATCAGTAACCCACAGACAGCTGGTGCGATGACCTGTTCTGATGCTAAACTAAACGAAGTTGCAAGTACTCATCTCCCAGCAGGGGAAGATGGTCATACACCAATGTTGGTAGCTGTTCCTGAAGGCAGGGTGCATGGTGGGAGTCTGATGGCAATGCTGAAGGGGAATTCTGGCCTTGGTACAAGCGTTGGGAGGGGTTTATTGTGTGATTCATCACTGACAAGTAAAGCTTGCATCGTGCCTCAGAGTAAAATTTGAGGCTACTTATTGCTTTTGTTGCCTTGCACAGAAATTTTATTTCGTGTTTTCCTCCAAGGTTGATTAGAGTCGTTGTTTGTCAGTAGTCAAAGCGGAGAGAATATGTACTTTGTTATTCTTAAGAAAGGGATTTGGACTTTCTAATTCAAATGTGAGTTAAAATTTAAGGAAATTAAATATTTTTTTTTACTTAATATCTTGAGTTTTTTCATTGAAGAAGATAATGTCATTTTGATTGAGTTATATTTTATTGGTGAGAATTTTTTTTTATTAGTCCATCTCGATGATACTCACTAATATTTTGATTAAGTATTGGTATTTTTCTTTCTTTCCTCAATTTTTTTCTTTTGTACATATTATTTATTTAATAAAATTGTTCTCTAAATGTTGCTCAAATTAGTTTTATTCTTAAATTAGTCTTTAGTCTTTGTTTTAAGCGAATCATTGAAGTTGCGTTGTTGGAAAATAATTTAATGTTGGATCCTCTACAGAGGTGCTATCTCTATATCAGTGATCTTAACCATTGTATAAATCTAATGATTATTGAAAAAAAGAATATAAAAATTTGATTAGATCCATAATTATGAAAGGTTAGTATGTTATTACATAGACGGCTCCATGAAGAGAAATTTTACCCTTCATTTGGTGATGATATCACTAATACTATGATGTCAATAGCATCATAATTACACTTTATATGTTAATGAAGTAAAGTTGGATGTCATACATAATTGCACTGCACCTTTGCCTAACTCTCCTTCTACAACCCCTCGTCAGACTTGAATTTGGCCATCTTGGACAGCTTTTCAACAGCCTCTACCAAATGGTCGACTCTTGCCACAAACTCCATGAGGGAGGAAGCGAAGTTAGCCAACGACAATATTGCTGTACTCATCTTTATGTTTTTCTCACTATCTTCTTCAAAAGCATCTGCCTCTCTAGGTGGCCAAGAATATAGTCTTCTCAATTGCTTCCCCGTTATTTCATGGTAACATTCTAGCTCTTCTTCCATCTCCCTCTGATATGGTACATGGTAGATGATGTGTGAAATGTTTGCAAAGGAATTTGAAGAGTTATCAGTAGGGGATTCAAAAGCGGATGTCAGCATAGAAGAATATTGGAAGGACATAGAACTTTGCAATCTCTTAACAGAGTTATGAAGCCTTTTAATGTGGGAATCTTTCAGACTCCACTGCATGCAGCTAATGTCCCTTCCCAACATTCTTACTACTTCAGCAGCTTGGTTTGATGCCTCTTGAACCTCTGATTGAAGCCCAACCCGCAATTTGTAGGGTACCTGAAAAACAATATTTCATTACTAGAATTTCACTGCATTCAAGTTTTGTACATCCTTTATCTAAAAATGATTTCAATTTGAAGTTTTTTTTATGCATATTAAAAATAATAATAGATATATTATTTATGAAACCATTTTATTAAAATAACTTCACTCTTTTTAATAAAAACATTATATTTTTAGACCTGAATTTCAGCGTGTACAATGCTATGGAGTGTCATAACTTCATAGGCACAGCGTCGCAGAACTGCCCCAACTTTCTCATATTGAGACCATGGATATGAAATGTGCATGAATTTACCATGTGGTGGCTCCCATTTTGCTGATTTAGCCTTGCAGTCAAAGAAGAAGCACAGTAAATTTTTCGAGCGATAGTAATGAAAACTGAAACCTGAAAAATTGGTGCTGTTTCAATGAAGACATATATACCAGAGTCTCAAACTTTGACCCTGAATTCAAGGTGCTTTGACATCTCGTATAAGCCGGTTCCTTATGAAATGCATCTATGCTTGCCATGGTGATTTTTGACTTATCAGATTCATCTTCTAAATATTTCTTGACGCATTCTGATGACATAGAAGAGATAAAAGGAACATATTAGTATATGTGGTTGCAAGTTAACAGAAGGACATACAGCACCTGAATTAACTCAAGGACCAGCTGGATTCCAATTTAACATCTCAAACAGAATTAATAAGATGATTGATTTTCCAGTTTTTTTTTAACTTACCCTCAAGTGAATCTGACACTGAATAGAAGTCATTTACCAACTCTTTATGTAGTTGGTCCCCAGCCCACATAGGGAAAATAGAAACATTGACCAACACTGACATCATTCCTCCAATGGCGATTGAATAGAGGCGATCGATCATAGTCCTAATTGGGTTACCAATTCTGTAGTCAGAAACTATGATCAAGCAATAGGTTAACAGTGCCACCCTAAACCCGTACTCATACTGCACAAGTGCTGGCCACATTTTCATGTATGACGTTATCACCGCTGCATATCAAAATATCATATGATTAAAACATACCACATACTCTTCACATTATTCTCATATTATATGACCAAATTTGAGAACATGTAATTGCAATTACCGATCATGAACATGCTAAGGCCAATGATAATAGGCTCAGCGACATGACCACATGACAGTGCGGTCTCAGCAACCAAAATGGCCAAGATTCCCGCCACCAAGGTTCCCACTGCCCGATTAAATCCTCGATTAAATGTTGCTCCTTCAAAATCCACAACCATGTACCCGTCAAAATTCATATACAAAAAAAATTGATATATGTTACAAAATGGATTATTCTACATAAATGTATAGCAACAACTATGTAAAAGCTATATCAAGTAGAACATACCAACAGTGTCCTCGAAGACAAGAATAGCCGTGAGAATGGCCCATAATATATTAGACCCGAAGACTTGATACGGGGCTTCAAGTAATATGAGTAAAGACATAAGAAGAACAGTTACCCCAACTTTGAGTGCAAATATTTCTCTGCCCGTGTCTTCCTTGCAAAGTTCCCACACACCCTGAATCTGAAGCCAAGTTTTGTTGGCTCCAAATTTCGTGCCGGTCTCATGCGCCTCAGGTTTAGACGGTTTACATGTTGGAATGTTAATCTCAATGCTCTCCATTTTTTGGTTCATTCTTCACAAACAGTACAACAAATTTGACCGCTGGACACCCTATAAACCTAGTTGACATCAACAGCAAAAATAATAAGTATTATTCAGATGTTTGAGGCAGAAAAGTGTCGACGTATTGTTACTCTTCTTACAAGACTCTTGTAGTTCGGTTAGAACCTATATATCAAGAGCCTCTTTACATGAATGTTAATAAAAATTATTAACCCTGTAGAACAAGAAACAAGAATGATGAAGTGGTGATGATAAATAATAGGAAATAGCTTGACTGGAGTGTATATATAGATAGATATGTACGATTGAGCAAGGCAAGAAAGAGAATGATTTTAGCAGTATAGGCCAACAGGATATATATATGATCGAATAGAAGATTTGATACGATAATAATTTTAGGGAAGAATTGGAACTGAACACAATTTATATATAAAGAATATGCTTAATTAGCCTCAACAATACTCCATGCATGCATGGATGGAGAATTAGAATCAGAAATTTCGTGTAAAAGTGAGAAAACATATTACTGCATGTCTCTGTCTGGCTTTCAAAAGAAAACTTTCTACTTCAATCTAATGCGCATGGCGATCGATATTTAGTTTAAAATCCATTCGCCATAAGTAAAGTTCGCTCGCATTAGGTGTCTACTATCACATGTGAGACTTAAAAGATCTCTACTGTAATACGCTGGAGTTAAGTGTGTTAAACTGCGACGTCTAGAAAAAATTGGAAAGTTGAAGAAAGAACATTCAAGTGAAAGTTGAAACATGTTCTGTTACGAAGGGTTGTGGTCCATTGATTTATTCATGTTACATTGGTCGTTAATTAGGAATATCTCCTTCGACAAAGACTTGCATGTCTACAACTTGTTCTGTCCAGAGGGAACGGAGATTACCAAGTTGGTAACATAATCACGCACGAATTTCTTTTAAAAGCCTCATCTTCACTTCTATGCTTTAATTTACCATCATCTCATCCTCTCCGACATCAACAATGGTTTCAAGTTGCCTATTATTTCTTTATCGTGTATATACATATGATGTCATATTCCTTGACTTTTAAGATATTATTCCATTATTCTTATTTATAAACATCGTATTATTCATATATGCTAGGAAAGTTCAGAGTCTCCTATTAGTTAGAAGATAAGGATAGTTTATATATATATATTTAATTCATGGATATATTTTTTAAATACATAATCGCGAGGGAAGAAAGGGTGAGAAATCACTGGAAATAGGAAATTGACCCTAATATTTCATAAAATACTTTACAAGACCGATATATTTACTTTTATTTGTCTCTGTTGTAAAGAGTGCTGCTAGAATTTTTCAAAAGCACTGTAATTTTAATTGCTGGTTCAAATGCATGCATGCTAGTGACTTATTCCGATTTTATTTGAGCAATGATGGAAAAGAAAGAATATATGTTATATTCGAGAGGGAGAAATTGGAAGACATAAATTGACACGAGATTTAGATTCGGAATATGTTCATCGATCTGTGGACTATGTGGCTTTGATTTCCAGAGTAATCGCTGCTATCAAGTTAAGTGACATGACTTGACTAACCTCTGCCACTCATTCCTTTATTGGTGGGAGTAGAGACCTCAACCAATTTTAAATTAATGCATCTTACATGTTTTAATAAATTAACTGATTTTTCAAGAGAATCAGTTTTTTAAAGTCTTTCCGAATATTCTTCAATTTTATCTTTGTTTATCTTTTATTGGGTCTTCATAAAAATAATTCTTTTAATTATAGATTATGATTGCTAATTTTATAAATTATTTTATATTTTACTTTTTAATAAAAATAGAATGGTGTATTTTGTAATTGACTTAAATAATGCTTTTTTTTTTTGCTTTGTTGATTTGCTAACATTAAGACAAACTTAAAGGTAGTATAGTATTTCATGCGACCAGAGAGGGTAAGACATTAATGCAAGGTTAAACGCAACATTTACTTAAGATAATTGTGATTTGAACCTTGATTGATAGTTAGGATTTAACTTATGGCTGACTTTGTGTGAGAGCGTGTGGTTATATGCTTAATCACATTCGGTTCTTCTATAGGAGAAAAATAAAAATTTAGTTATATTTGTTAGATGAGTGTAACTCGTCTTATTGAACTAAGTAGCTTATCACTTTAGTATAACAATTAGTTTCATTGTAACTTAATTGGTAGGAATAGTTGGTTTTATGAGAGTAATTTGTTTAATGAGAATAGCTAATTCAATAAGTGTATTATATTTTATTTTATGAGAAAGTAATTAGGGCTTATTACAATTTCTCTAACGAGAATAACTAGTTTAAATAAGTGAATCTTATTTCATTTTATGAGAGAGTAACCAATGAGTGTTACTCATCTCATAAGAGTAATTAATTTATGATTGTGACTCATTTGACACGAATAATTTAATTAATGGGTTCATCTCATTTGGTTTGTGTTATGAAAAACATAGAACTTTTTCATGTAGTCAGATTTATGAAAGTGAAATAAAAACAAAATAAAGATGGAATAATTGGACACACCAATTGATAACGGAGTTCGGCCAAAATTGTCTACATCTTCGGATTACTGTAGATATTTTATTGGGAGAAAAGAAAATACACAGGTGTTTACAAAACACTCGCAACCCTCAACTCAATTACACCAAGAAACTAGATTATTTTTTTTCTGCTTCTTGTTGGCTAACTCTTGTAATGGTTGCTTAGGAATTGGATGATCAAAATAAGTGAAGTGAAAGAGCATTTCATAGCAAAATGAATGGTTCTTGTACATCTAAGACTTTCCATTTTTTTCTTGTCTCCAACCACTTGTCAATCAACCACTTGTCACCTTTTTTTTACTTTTCAAACACCAACAATGTGTATAACTTGTTCAATGGCTAATTTGTTCTAGGTTAGTGATAATTATCATTACAGTGCTAACCTTTGCATCATCTCCTCTATTTATGATGCATAGGCATTAAATCTCACCTAACTTCACCTTGTTGTCCCAACAAACAAAAAACTACAACGATTTTGTTGGGTTTAAAGAACATAATAAAATATATATAGTAAGTAGGAAAAAGAAAAAAATCAACGAAAATACAAATACTTACATCATAACATTCATGATAATATTTCTTTCAAGGATTCTTCACCTTCCAATAATAGGCAACAAGATAGCATTGTTGCATTTGCATGCATCATCGCACCACTGGACAAGGACAAAACTTGTATAGATGCCATGGAAACATTAATGCTCAATTTCTTTATTCGAATACATGAGATGAATACATGAGACCTTAGAATCAAACGAAAAAGTTGTGGTTCTTCTTGAAAATAATAAAGCCTTTACGGTGCCTCAAATATATAGAAGATGTTTGACCATTAAAAAATATTGTTATAGGAGGTTTGTTTTGAAGATAAAAGAGGAATATTTTATCTATATATTTTATCTTTTGGGCATTTCAACTAAGATTGAACTTGATACGACAGAGAATTTTCGAATGACGCTTTTATAATTATTAAGGTCTAAAAAAATGTTTTTTAGATAGTTGATGGTTCAAACAAAGACAATAAACAAAATACATAAATTTAAAAAAATGTGAATAAATTGAATTACAACTTTAATCGTTATGTTGCTCATGTAATGAAAGAAAATTATAAATATTAAAATTAATTATTTTTTTTAAAGAAAGTAAAACATACAAATTTAAAAAATAAAACTTAAATTTAAGTTATATTTTTTAGATTCAAATAAAGACCTAAATCTTATCTACTTACATGAAATTTATAAGGTGCATGAAACAATATATATAGAACTTAATATATTTGAAATAATTTTTTTTTAAATTTATTTATTTATATATTTTTTTACATTTTGATGAAATTAATTTAGATTTAGTTTTTTCAACTCATTTTGTGTATATAATATATGTATTTAAAGTTATATAAAAGAGTTTTTTTTAATATTTAACTTTTTATAAATATTTCTGAATAGTTATAGAAGATGACAATATAATGAAAAGAAATAGAGTTAATTATTTCTATAAATCAAAATTAATTAAAATAAATATTTGGAGAAATTATATATAAGAATTTATACAAATCAATGAAAAAAAAAACTTTTTTTTCTCTCTTGAAAATCTTTAGGATGAATTGGTCAAAATGTATATGAAATTTTCAATTATAAATAACAAAATTAAATAAGAGTTCATTTGACTAACACTAATACATAACTCAATTTTGTGGCAATAGTAAATAAAGGATTAAATTTGGAGAAATAAATTGTGACTAGTGATATCATTTAGTTTGATTAAAGTCAACTTACCTCAAACTTCATTTCCAAAATGTGTCAATTTTATCCAAGATTTGGAAGTTTTCTTGAAAAAAAGAATGTATCATTATTTATTAGAAGAGTTAAAGACAAAACTTATTTTAAAATATAATTAAAAATTATTGAAAAAAAACAAAAATAAAATTTTATTAATTTATTTTTTTCATAATTACATAATTTGATTTTCAGATTGAAAATTAATAAACAAACTAATCTGAACTAAATCATATATTTTATTTACATATGACATTATATATATTTAAAGTTAATTATTATTATTATTGAATAGAATTTAATTATATTTTTTTATAATATATTTATATTTATTAAATTTATGATAATATTTAATTACAAAAATGAATAATTTATTTATATATTTACAAATATTATAATTATAATTATATAATTTTTATAATATATTTTATTTTAAAAAATTCATTATAAAATATTTAATAGTTTTTTTTTACAAACTGTTTAACAATTTAATATTAACAAAATCTCTGAAACCTATCTACATTAAATTATTTTGCTGGGATTGAATTTGAAACTAATTTTTCTTAAATTGTTTATATTCAATAAATGGGACCTTAAATTTTAACAAGTTTGTTTTTGTTTGCACATGTAATCTTTTATTAAAATATGGAATAAAGTAAAAAATTGTCATTTTACTTTTGAGGAGTACTCTGAGGGAAGGGGATTTGTTTTGATTTGACTCTTTTAAGTGCTCTTGTTGATGTTCATGTAGCATAGCTTTCAAGATCACTATAAAAAAAATATAAAAAAAAGTATAGTTTGTACTATGAGTAACAAATATAAACAAGTTATATTGATCATAAAATTAAAATGCATATTTTTATTTTGAAATGTTAATATATAAAAAATATACATTTTAGAAATATTTAATTAGCAAAATGAGATGTTGTTATATTGTTTGTTAGTTGTGTTGCTACACTGAAAGCAGTTCCCGTTTGGTTTGTTTGTTGCCGCATGTGGGCGTGCCCGTGCCCTGCCCTAGTTCTAGAGCTTGCCATCTACGCGACTGAGAAATCCATTTGTTTCTCTCCACCGTTCCGATTTTGAAACCGCATCGCCAGGTTCGTACTTCTACCTATCTTTTCAATACTATGTTTTTTGTATCTCTTGCTCTGTTGATTTGCATTTCGTTTGAGATTCATTTGAGCGTTCTACTGTTGTCGACTCTACAACGGGAATACACATCCCTAGTTTACAGTTCAAAAAATTCTATATGCGCTCTATTTTTGCTTGATGTCATACAGTGTTTTTCCAATTCCTGATTTGCACTAATGCGACGAACTTTCATTATGCACATGGTTTTCCTTTCTTATGATTTTGTTGTTGTGCGTTGCGTAATTGATTTGAAACACTCTATCTATCCTTATATTTGAGTATGAGTGAACATGTTTCCTGAATGAATTTGTCTCCTAGGGTTTAGAAGTACGCTTGTGTTTGCAGTATGTTACCATTACTAACTTATAGGTTTAACTTTATAGGTGGAAGCAATGGATGAGGGAAAACATAAATCCAGGAAAGAAAACCATGAGGTGAAAGATGGGGATTCTAAGAGGAGTCACCGTGACCGTGATAGAATTGGAGAAAGGGGCAAGGATAAAAATGATGGGAGGCACAGGGATAGGGAGAAGAGGGATCGGGAGTCCCGGAGACATGAAAGAGAGAGGAGTACTGACTCTGAAGACAAGTATGATAGAGATAGGGATAAGCGCAGAGATAAAGATAAGGATGTGGACAGAGAAAGAGGTCGAGAGAAGAAAAGGGAAAGGGACAGGGATAGGGAAGACAGGGAGAGGACAGACAGAGTAAGGGAAAAAGAAAAAGAGAGGGAAAGAAAAGAGGATAAGGAGAGGATTAGAGAAAGGGAAAGGAGGGATCATGAGAGAGAGAAGGAAAGAGAAAGAGAAAGGGGGAGGAGAGCACGAGAGAGGGAGAAACGGAGGGAAGTTGATAGTGATTACAGTGATGGTGAATCTAGGGAGAGGGATAGAAAGCGGCATAGGAAAGAGGATGGTGATTACAAGAAGAGAGAGAGGGAAAGGAGTGTCAGCAAGCCAAGCAGGCAATCTGAGGAACATGAAGGAAGCCCAAGAAAAAAGAGTGTCGGAGATGATTCAGATACCAAAGATGGTGAGAGAAAACCTACCCGCGAAGAGGAGATGGAAAATGAACAAAAGAGGTTGGATGAGGAAATGGAAAAACGGAGGAGGAGAGTTCAAGAGTGGCAAGAACTAAGGAGGAAGAAAGAAGAAGCAGAAAGAGAAAAGCATGGTGAAGTAAGTGCTAATGAACCTGAGTCTGGAAAGACCTGGACGCTAGAAGGGGAATCTGATGATGAAGAAGGACCAGGTACTGGGAAGCATGATACTGGTATGGATGTAGATGCAGATGAAAAACCTGCTGATGTGGAACCCAAGGATGCGATGGTGGTAGACACTGATAATGAGACAATTGCATCTGATTTACAGGATGGAACTGCTGGTACGCCTGAAGATGAGGAAATAGATCCATTGGATGCTTTCATGAATTCTATGGTTCTACCTGAAGTTGAAAAGCTGAACAATGCTGTGACATCCGTAATTTCTGATAAAGCCATTGACATAAAAGCGAAAGATAAAGGGTATGAGCAAAGTCGTGGTGCACAGTCAAGGAAAGCTTCAACTATTGGCAGAATAATTCCTGGTGAAGAGACTGACTCAGATTATGCAGATGATGAAGTTGAGAGGGATCCACTGGATGAAGATGATGATGAGTTCATGAAAAGAGTGAAGAAAACAAAAGCCGAGAAGCTTTCTTTAGTTGATCACTCAAAGATCGACTATGAACCATTCAAGAAAACTTTTTATATTGAAGTGAAAGAGATCTCAAAGATGACTCCCGAAGAAGCAGCAGTATACAGGAAGCAGTTGGAATTGAAAATACATGGAAAGGATGTGCCAAAGCCTATTAAATCATGGCACCAGACTGGACTTGCTAGCAAAATTTTGGAGTCAATAAAGAAGATGAACTTTGAAAAGCCGATGCCTATTCAAGCTCAGGCACTCCCTGTAATCATGAGTGGCCGAGATTGTATAGGGATTGCTAAAACTGGGTCGGGCAAAACACTTGCCTTTGTTCTGCCAATGCTGAGGCATATCAAGGATCAGCCACCAGTTGTTGCCGGAGATGGACCAATTGGACTTATTATGGCCCCTACAAGGGAACTTGTTCAACAGATTCACAGTGATATAAAAAAATTTGCTAAGGTACTCGGTCTCAGGTGTGTGCCTGTGTATGGAGGCTCTGGTGTTGCTCAACAAATTAGTGAGTTGAAACGTGGTACTGAGATTGTGGTTTGTACTCCAGGTAGGATGATTGACATACTATGCACTAGTAGTGGAAAAATAACTAACTTGCGGAGAGTCACCTATCTGGTCATGGATGAAGCTGATAGAATGTTTGACATGGGCTTTGAACCTCAAATTACACGAATTGTTCAGAATATTCGGCCAGATCGGCAAACAGTTCTTTTCTCTGCAACCTTCCCCCGTCAGGTTGAAATTCTGGCCCGAAAGGTTTTGAATAAACCTGTTGAAATACAAGTTGGCGGGAGGAGTGTTGTGAACAAAGACATATTACAGCTAGTTGAAGTGAGGCCTGATAATGAAAGGTTCCTTAGACTTTTAGAAATATTAGGGGAATGGTACGAGAAAGGAAAGATTCTGATATTTGTTCACTCCCAGGAGAAATGTGATAGTTTGTTCAAGGATCTGCTCAGGCATGGTTATCCATGCCTTTCTCTTCATGGCGCTAAGGACCAGACAGACAGGGAATCCACAATATCTGATTTTAAAAGCAATGTCTGCAATTTGTTGGTTGCAACAAGTATTGCTGCCAGAGGATTGGATGTTAAGGAACTAGAATTGGTGATCAATTTTGATGTTCCTAACCACTATGAAGATTATGTACACCGTGTTGGGCGCACTGGACGAGCTGGCCGAAAGGGTTGTGCCATTACATTTATATCTGAGGAAGAGGCAAGATATGCACCTGATCTGCTGAAAGCCTTGGAACTATCTGAGCAGACTGTTCCCGATGATCTGAAAACTCTTGCTGATAGCTTTATGGCAAAAGTGAATCAAGGACTGGAGCAAGCCCATGGGACTGGTTATGGAGGCAGTGGCTTTAAATTTAATGAAGAGGAAGATGAGGTGAGGAGAGCAGCAAAGAAAGCACAAGCCAAGGAATACGGGTTTGAAGAAGACAAGTCCGATTCTGAAGATGAAGATGAAGGTATTCGGAAGGCAGGAGGTGATATCTCACAGCATCCTGCTTTTGCTCAGATTCTTGCTGCCACTAAAGTTAATGCTCCTGCATTGCCTACTCCCATATCTGCCGCCCAGCTGATTTCGAATGGTGGACTACCTTCTTTTCCATCTGTTCTTGGTCTCCAGACCCCAACAGTCTTGCCTGGGTCAGGGCTACCCCTTGCTGCAAATGATGGGGCAGCTCGAGCAGCACTGGCTGCTATGAACTTGCATCGCAACATAGAAAAAATACAATCAGAAGCATTACCAGAGCATTATGAGGCTGAGTTGGAAATAAATGATTTCCCCCAGAATGCTCGCTGGAAAGTTACGCATAAGGAAACATTAGGCCCTATATCTGATTGGACTGGAGCCGCCATTACTACCAGGGGGCAGTTCTTCCCACCTGGCAAAATCCCAGGACCTGGGGAACGCAAACTCTACTTGTTCATTGAAGGTCCTACTGAGCAGTCTGTTAAGACAGCTAAAGCACAATTGAAGCGTGTTTTGGAAGACATTACAAATCAGGCTTTGCAACTTCCTGGTGGAAATCAACCGGGCAAATACTCTGTTGTGTGAAGGGTAAGATCCTATTCTAGTTGATCCTAGTGTCGCTGATTTTGTTATAATGGCTGTTTTATAAGCTTTATGTATGGTACATACTTATGAAGGGATGTCCAGCTTTGAAGTTATTGATTTTTTATGATCTATTTATTCCTTATTGTAGCCAATAGGCGTATAATTATCCCTGGTTGGATGATCTGATTGGATTTAAGTGGTTTTCTCCTTCATCTTCTTTGGGTAGACATTCTTTTGGTTCAGAACTGATATGGATACTGGTTTAAATTTGAAACAAAATTGTTCTAGTTTATACTCGGATATTTCAGCAATCTGGTGATATCTGTTCAGTGATGCTTTTGTTTAGTTATTATTTTTGAAAAGATTCTGCAACCTAAGTAAATCTACTTTAGGTAGTCAACGTGAAGGCGAAATGGGACTCTGTTAAACACTCTTGTCTTGCGCCCCCCAATCTGGGACAAGTTGCACATATTGTCTGCCTTTCTTGTCCATTCGTTGTCACACAGGTATGGATATTATTGTGGAAAGTCCGTCCCATTTGTTTAATTTTTTCCTCTTCTGTGTGTGCTTGAATGAAACTTCTATCATCTCTTTTTTGCGTATCAGCTAATGTCAAGCAAAACTATTTGCTTTTTATCAACTTTTAATTGCATAAATCTGTATCTTTTTTATTGTTACCTTGGTGACCCATTCCCATTGGTGCAGGTGGGTCTTTGAACCTACGCTTGCGTGTTCGGATTGTTTCCATCCATCTTGCTTGCATCGGGACTGTCTAAGGTGCTGATCGCGGTGCGACTTTTATTTTATCTCGGTTCTGTTTGATTTGATTTGAAGCAACCATTCTCTAAACTCAGATTTTTTGCCTTGTTATCCCGTGTACAAGTTGTAGAATTGGTGATGCTATTATGAGTCTATTTTTCTGATTATAACGCATGTATCTTTCAGGTTTTGAGGTGTCCTTTTGTAAGGGAAACAAGATTAGATGGAGAGTTTCAGTTATTAATTCATTTGTCTTACCATCACTGTATTTCAGCACATGTACCATAGCAGAATATCTTTCTAACAAGTTTACTATATACCGGATATGCTACACAGACTTCTAAAATCTTTGGAATTGTATTGCTCGTGAAACTCATCAATTCTCTTTTCTGTTGTAATTCTTGGGAATAAATTTTATTTGGCTTGCTCAAAGTCTTTTCAGTAACTATTGGCTAAAAACTCTCAATGAACGAATTACTGAGCATTACGGGGACCTTGGAGCTGGAGCTATATTTATTTATATGTACTCACGGGACGGTTCTGATTTAGTGACTTTTATTTTTGCAAGAGTAATGCCTTTTTAGAACACAATCATTCTTGTTATTCTTTTATGATGGTATAATATATTCAGGATTCTGTTTTTAATTTTTTTATATAATTTCGATATGGTACTGTTGGACTAATATGAAACTGCCAAAATATTTCAATACTAAAACAGGATATTGATTTTTAGTCGGTGTTATAATATTAAAAGATTATGCAAAACAAATTACCATTTTTCAACTTGAAAAATTAAAAGAATAGCTCAATTTCTTATTTTTTTTTTCATACATCATTGGAATAGAGTCAATCAATTCGAAATTATTTAACCACAAAAATATAATTAGAAATTATTTAACGTAAATTTTGAAAATAATTATAAAAATCAAACAACATATCATATTTATTTGAATGAGTTTAATTTGTGTCAACCTTGTGAAAACGCGTTGCTTAAGTTTTAAATGTATTATTTTATCCAAAAGTTTTAAGCTATATTTTATTTTTAACTATTTTTATGAAAGGTGTAACGATAGAGATTAATTATGAACTGTTTTTTAATAAAAAAAATAATGTGACTTAGAGAATTTTAATCATCAAAGTATTATTGTCTTGATCATACATATTATTAATTCAAATATTCACTAAATAATTAATCTAAACAAAACATTTTCATTAAAACAAAATATATCATATATTAATTATTAATCAAAGGATAAATTAACTTCTTAGTCTCATTAAAAGAGTGTTTATTTCTAGTTCTTCTCAAACATGTTAATAGTCAAGTAAAAAACAACTAAGAGTTAAGGACTTAGTCTGAATCGAAATTATTAAAATTGAAATTGTATTGTGTCATACTTTTTATGTATATAATTATTTCCTATTTATCTTTTATATTATTTAATTATTTATCTATATTTTTAACTATTTTTAATTAAAATTTTATTTTTAATATTTTAGTCTATTTTTATAATACTTTTTTAAGTAAGGACACAGTTTTGCGCATGTGTTTCTATTCTTCCGTACTGTTAATTAAAAATAGATTATGTAATCGTTTTTTTTTTCATTTTACCCTTCATATTATAGGTAAGTTACATTTTTGAAATTTTGTGTTAGATTTTAATTTTATTTTTAATGTTTTAGTAAAAGTTTTCAAAACATTTTTTAATTTTTTTTTTAAATGGACACTTTTTAATCATAGAAGAGAAAAGAGAGGAAAAGAAAATAGGAACAAAACTGTGAGAAACCGTTAAAGCAATTACAGGAAAGGAATGGAAAGCGGGAACTCTGCTATCTGCAGTTACCCAAACTTTCCCTATCTTTCCTGATCCGTTCATTTCGCTCATCACAAATACCAAAGCATTCCCAAACCCACACTTTTCCTTAAAAAACAACTTTCCTCCTTTCTCTTTCAATTTTTCTTCATCCCTGACTTTTCTCCCCATGTCGGGGACTCAGCTATTGAGTTTTGCAGTTACACTTTTCAAAACAGATTGAGAAGTAAACAAAATAAAGAACTTGAAACATTCTTGTTTAATCCCATTATTGTACGATAGAAAAAGAAGATATATTAATAAAAATTGATTGTAATAATTGTGTAGAAGGAAGAAAGGGAGATGGAACAGAGAAACATTTTGTTATCGGCGCTGGGTGTTGGGGTGGGCGTAGGAGTGGGAATTGGATTGTCTGCTGGACAAGGCTTTACCAAATGGGGAGTTAATAATTCATCCTCAAACGGCGTTACTCCGGAGAACATCGAACGCGAAATGCTACGACTTGTCGTCGATGGCAGAGAAAGCAAGGTCACTTTTGATGAATTCCCTTTTTATCTCAGGTATTCCTTCACATAACAATCCTTCACTTTTCCTCATTTCATTTCTCTTCCTTTTCTACCCAATATTATCGTCTTCAAATTGTAGATATACTCTTGTATTGTATTCTTCATGCAAATGAAAATTCAACGCATCAGTGTTCTTATTTACATTCCTATTTTATACGTGATGACAGGGAGCAGACAAGGGCGATGCTTACTAGTGCTGCTTATGTCCATCTGAAGCATGCGGAGATTTCTAAATATACTCGGAATCTTGCTCCTGCAAGCCGAACTATCATGCTGTCAGGGCCAGCAGGTTAGTGAAATATGTTGTTTCTGGATGAAGGATTGATAAGTTTAGTGTTTATACTGTCACCATCAACTTTCTCCCCTTAATGTCTCACAGAACTTTACCAACAAGTGCTTGCCAAGGCTTTAGCCCACTACTTTGAGGCAAAGTTGCTTCTTTTAGATCTCACTGACTTTTCATTGAAGGTGAAAATGACAAGTTTTTCTGTAATTTAATACTTTCTCAAGTTAATTATGTTCATAATGGTTGGTTGTCATCTGTGCAGATTCAGAATAGATACGGTTCTGCCAACAAAGAATCTGTAAGATTATATTTTATTGCTTTTACTTCTACGTCTTATAGATGAAGATGTCATGCTTTTTTGACTTAACATTGGGCTTTAATTCATTTTCATTTGTTTCTGATAGAAGTCTTTCAAAAGGTGTACCTCAGAGACAACTTTGGAACGGTTATCCGACCTATTTGAATCATTTTCAATCTTTCCACAAAAGGAAGATACTAAAGGTATAGATTGACGAACATGTCTTCTATGGTGGAGAACTTACTTTCAGTGTGTTCGGTTGGACACACGTCTAACTTCTTGTTGCTTCTGGTAGATGTAGACAGATTAGAGAGATGTGATGCAATTTGGCTCCAAACACGCACAACATAATAGCCAAATGCTTGATTAATCTTTGATGCACGGTTTCAAGAATATATTTTTTTTTTTAACTTTTTAACAGGAAAAAAATTAAACTTTGATACTTTCTTGTTTGTTGTTGATGAAAGATGAGTTGGGAGGGGTACGAGTAGCTTTAGTTGTGGTTGTTTCAGGTGTTGTCAATTTTCAGCATTCCATCCGATGCACATATTTTAATAACTAAGAAAAACCATATATCTCTAACCAACAGTTTTTATTGGAAGGGAAAATCCACAGGCAACACAGTGGAGTGGACCTCCGGTCAATGTAAGAAGAATTTATGTTTATCAATTGACCATGGGATGATACATAATTCCCTGCTATTTTATTTATTCTATATCTGAATTTTTACCCATTTTTTGCAGGGAGCCGGGAGGATCTTGTAATCATCCTCAAATGCGTAGGAATTCGTCTGCGTCTGCAAATATCAGTAGCCTTGCTTTGCAAAGCAATCCTACAAATTCAGGTTGATTCAAGAAAACCTTTAAATAGGTTACTTGGAACTTAGAACTATTGGTTTACATGATTACTTGTTTACCATCTGCTGGACTTTTAATTTTCTATAGAGAACCTGATTTACGAATGCCAGCTGCATGAATTTGAGAAGAAAAGAAAAAGAACACAATGTCATCATGCTTCCAAGAATTAACTTAAAATACATTAAGTGATAATACTTTGGTGTTACAACTTATTTATTTATAGTACTGGCTTAGTGTACATTAGTTAAATTCATCTTTATAGTGAAAACTAAAGCCAGTTTTCACTTTGGATACACTTTTTCAACACATATCCTTATGGAAAAAAAAATGAATTTAAAAGGTAAAGTAAATTAAATTTTTTTCATAACATGATGACATTTGTAAAGTTCTAAACTTGCTAAAGTATTTAAGTTGATTTTAATTTATAAAAAATGTTTACACACTTTACCTTATATTCATATTATTTTTTCTCACAAGTACTTTATTAAGAAGTTTATTTAAACTTAGCCTTAATACAATGTAAAGTTAAGTCGCACTTATCAGTTCTTGATCACACCGTTGCCATTTTCATTTGGTCATGTTCTCTCCTGGTCCTTCTACATTTCAATCTACCTTTAGCCCCTCAGAAGAGCATAACCAACTGGCCTTTTGATGAAAAGCTTCTTTTACAAACCCTTTACAAGGTAATTTTATTTTTTACTGAAAAAAATTACGTATTTCTATTACTTTTTCTACAATTAAGAGAGGGATAAGAAGAGAAGAGAGACAAAGCCGGAAATGAGTGACGTGATGGAGAGGAAGAGATAGAAAAAACTGAGTTGTAAGCAAATATTAGAAAAAAGTTATGAGTAGAATAATTATTGAGGCTTTACATGAACATTGATTTGATTGGTGAAAATTTCACTTACAGGTTCTAGTTTATGTGTCAAAAACCTACCCCATTGTTCTATATTTGCGGGATGTTGACAAGTTGTTGTGTAGATCACAACGGATATATAACTTATTCCAGAAAATGTTGAATAAACTACATGGACCAATTTTGATTCTTGGTTCACGAGTTTTGGATTCTGGTGGTGACTACAAAGAAGTGGATGACAGACTTTCTTCCGTCTTCCCCTACAACATTGAAATCAGCCCCCCAGAAGATGAATCTTATCTTGTCAGCTGGAAGTCTCAATTTGAAGAAGAGATGAAGATGATACAGATTCAGGATAATAGGAACCATATCATGGAAGTGCTTGCAGCCAATGATCTTGTTTGTGATGACCTGGGTTCCATGTGTGTGGCAGATACAATGGTTTTCAGTAACTATATAGAAGAGATCGTGGTGTCAGCAATTTCTTATCATTTAATGAATAACAAAGATCCTGACTACAGAAATGGCAAACTAGTTATTCCTTGCACCAGGTGAGACTACAACTTTAATTGCATTACAAGTACTATCTAAATTGAATGTACTTATTGTTTGTGAAACAGTTTGTCCCATGCATTGGGTATATTCCAAGAGGAGAAATTCAGTACAAGAGATACATTAAAATTAGAAGCCCAAGCAGTCACGTCTGAGGTTTGCTCTGCATGACACGAATGTGCATTAAATTGTGAATAATACTGAACTGGTACTAATGTATATTATTTTCTCTCTCTTTCTGTGACATTTGCATAAAGCCCGGAGAAGAAGGAGCTGTTGTGAAACCAGAAACAAAGTCAGAAAATCCTGCTCCTGAAATTAAGGCTGATGCAGATACATCAACTTCAGTGGGGAAAATTGACGGTGAAAATGCAATTCCTCCACCAAAAGTTGTGAGCCTCATCTTTGGTTTTGATCAAAATATATTTTCATAATAGTCTTTAAATCATGACTACAAGTTGTTTATACAAGCTTAGCAAAGTAACCTCTCCCTTTATAACATAATTCCAAATGTTAAAGTGGAGCGCTAGGGCTAGGTAGTAATTGCAGTTAGGTTATTAATGTTGTTTTCGGTTCTGTTGTATTGACTCTCCGTTTTTATTGTTTCTGTAAATTGTATAATTTTAAACATCCATTGACATACTCACATGCAGGAAGTTCCCCCAGACAATGAGTTTGAGAAGCGAATAAGGCCCGAGGTAATACCAGCAAACGAGATTGGTGTAAAATTCTCCGATGTTGGTGCCTTAGATGAGACCAAAGAATCGCTTCAAGAACTAGTTATGCTTCCTCTTCGAAGACCAGACCTCTTCCGCGGAGGCCTTCTTAAGCCTTGTAAAGGAATATTGCTTTTTGGACCTCCTGGCACGGGGAAGACAATGCTGGCAAAGGCCATTGCAAACGAAGCTGGAGCAAGTTTCATCAATGTATCCATGTCTACCGTCACCTCTAAATGGTTTGGTGAAGATGAGAAGAACGTTCGAGCCTTATTCACACTGGCAGCCAAGGTCTCTCCAACTATTATATTTGTTGATGAGGTTGATAGTATGCTGGGACAACGTACTAGAGTTGGAGAGCATGAAGCCATGCGGAAAATAAAGAATGAGTTTATGACACTTTGGGATGGACTAATGACAAATCCAGGGGAACGCATCCTTGTTCTTGCTGCAACCAATAGGCCGTTTGACCTAGATGAAGCAATAATTAGGAGATTTGAAAGGAGGTATGTGTGATAGTTCTTGACTTTCCTTTTGTTCTGGGGACCGATAGCATGTATATTTTTGTGACCGTATCTGAATACTCTGAAATTCAGTAATATTTTATCATTTTTTTGTACTTACTATAATGCTCTCTAATCTTTTGTTAACAGAATTATGGTGGGGATGCCATGCGTGGAGAACAGGGAAAAGATATTGAGGACTATATTGGCAAAAGAAAAGGTGGAGGAGAAACTTGATTTTAAGGAACTCGCAACTATGACAGAAGGATATAGCGGAAGTGATCTCAAGGTTTATGCAATTTTCTAACTCTTTTACTACATATGTGACTATCGTGTTAAAACCTAAAAATGCTTTTATTATTTTGAGCCATTGATGCTCAAGTGCCTAGCATGTTTTTCACTCTCACTAACTGTTAAATGTAGAACTTGTGCACAACTGCTGCTTACAGACCCGTCAGAGAGTTAATTCAGCAAGAGAGACTAAAAATGCTGGTAACTTGGCAATATCTTTAAAAGGTCCATACTATAATCGTGTGCTTATATGATTATCGTGTCGATTTCTCCATTTGGTTCCCGCAGGAGAAAAAGCAGAAAGGTATTGAAGAACAGAATAACAATGTCCAAGAAGTACAGGGAAATCACTCTACAGTAGGAAATACCCAAAATGCTTTGGAAGCAAAAGAGGAAGTTCAACAGGAAAGAGTAATTTCCCTTAGACCTTTGAACATGAAAGACTTCAAAGAGGCTAGGAGTCAGGTAAGACTCCTCTATCAACATTTGGGATTCTTTTGCTTATTAAATCCACAGTTATCACCATATACCTTGAATTTCATACTCAAATGCATGCCTTAGTTGCTTTATTTGAATTAATGTAGTGCATGATAAGATTTCTTCATTTGACCATCAACTTGGAACACAGGTTTCCGCAAGCTACGCAGCTGAGGGGGCTGGAATGAGTGAGTTAAAGCAGTGGAATGAAATGTATGGGGAAGGCGGTTCAAGAAAGCGAGAGCAATTATCTTACTTCCTGTGAAAGTCTCTTGTTCAAGAAACCCTAGTTGCATCCATTCTAGTTGGTCTTGTAAGTCTCTTGTTCTATGAACTGAAGAGTGAGGAAAACAATTTCTATCAATCAGGCAAATCAGGAGCTTGCCATTGATTACACTCCACTTGTGTATAATTTCCAGTAGTATCTAGTCTCTTCATATATATTATACTTGAGTAAAAGTATTGGCCACGTATTTGGCATTTTGCCCATATGCTGTGAATATTGTTGTTGTAGTTGATTGTGAAGCTCATCTAGTCCTATAACGATGGTTGAAGTTGCTTTTATGTACAATAGATAAAAGAATACAGTTCTGTGATTCAATATTATAGTATGTTGATAGTGAATTTCATTTTGAGATTTTCTATTAATTTGAACTGTACTGTTTTCTATTCAAAGTCTCACTGCAATATTAAACAAGTGTTTGGGAACATGGATCGAATTTTCTGAAGGGTTAGTATTAAGGACACAAACAATTTCCGATCACTACTTTCAATTTCGTTATCATATATACCATTGAATTTTAGGAAGTTATTGAACAATGAATATTTGTAAGAGCAGACGTCCATTGAAATCGAAAGAAAAATGAATTTATTGCATCCAGGAGAATTTAAGGAAGAAAGAAATAGAAAAAAAAAACGAAGGAGAAATTGAAAAGCATTGTAACGTTTATTTATTGCAAGACATAAAACACCATACAGTTATCTATTAATGATTGAAAATAAAAAATAATTAATGATAATATGATTATATAAAAATTCTGTAGTTTTCAAATTTTGATATTTATAAATAATATATATAGTCTCGTATTTATAACTATTATTTCCTACAACATGTATATAATATTAATTAGTGTACGTCTGAAAACGAAAGACAGACAATAGCGAAGATTGAGGAAAAGGAGAGAAAAATATGATGAGGCATAAAACTTTGTATTCGAAAAGAAACTTAGTGGACCAAAAAGATGCCCAATTAAAGATTGTGATTACCCTCGTCATTTTCTTCTGAATTGAGCATGAAATGAAAGTCTTTTAAATGGGAATTGGGCTAAAAATAAATAAATAAATTAATTAATTAAACTAATTTTATAGTCATATACATTCATTACTTTAAATTACTAATCTTAATTAGGATATATAACCTTTTCCAAATAATAATAATCTTACTTGAAGCACAATCATTATACATTAAATATAGATGTTTCTGTTAATAAAAACTCAAACTTCATTTGCCATTTCATAAAAACTTGACTGTATTTCTTAATTAGTTGACATTAAGAAAAATTTACATCCACGGTGAATAACTTTTAACTTTATTTATATATTACTTGAAAAATTATTCTTGTATACACACACATATATATATATATATATATATATATATATATATATATATATATGAAAAAACAATAAAAAAAATATCTTTATATATTTTGTGAATATGTAAGTGAAATGCTTTTATATTATACTGCTAAAGAAAATACAATTAAATACGGTAGTACTTAAATATTTATATTTTCGTATATAAAATTTCTTTCTTATGATATATTCATAAATATATTAGTATATGAATTATAAAATAAATAAATGGTAGTATAATAATAAGATAAACAATAATTAAGATTTTAATTGTTTAATTAATTATATAACACATTAAAAAATAAACTTTAAAATTAAAGTCTGGTAAAAATGTCTGATCACTCTGTATTTTTGTACGGTGGTTAAAAAAACTAACACAACATTTTTCATGAAGGTTTTTCTCTCAATTACCTTTTTTTTTTCTCCACAATATTCCAAACTTGAAACTTGGGTTAAAATAACTAAACTTATTATCGGGGTCGTCCATATGGTCAACTGTTAAGTTTCTTCTTCTTCTTTTTTACAATTTTATAAAATTTGAACATACTCTTTTATTATTTACAGTTTAAAAAGTAGAATAAAATAAATAAAAAAAGTTTGTGTGAATATATTAACAATTGATGGAAGAAAGGGAGTGTGAATAATGATCGAGGAGACACCGAATACAGTTGATGAGCGATTTCAGCGTCCACATCTTCCGAACATTCATAATTTCTCTGCTTACAAATTCAACTTACTAATACAAAAAGAATAATGCGATCCCGAGACTCCAAACAGATCCCCATGCAATAACTCCAATTAATAATTGGTAATTATTTGAGTGAGGGTCAAGTTGCATTGGAGCTTTTCCTAGTTTTGGTGTTAATCCTTTTCCCTTGGGATTATTATGATTAAAATGGGAAATGAAATGAGATAAAGAGATGGATGAAAAGATAGGGTGGTGCATGCATAGTGAAAGGGTTGTTGGTAGGGAATGAAGGCTCAATTCACATGAAACCACTTTGGGTGACCCCATTGCATCATTAGCACCAAATGGTTTCAAGATTAGATGGGTTTGGTTTCCTCATCAGTTCCCCAGAACCAAAAGCATCCAATCAATGATTTTGTGGTTGTGGGGTATGATATGTATCTTGGACTTGTTTCCACTCTTCCCTCTTTTGCTCAAAACTAAACCCATGCCACCACTGCTTTGCGTTGAAGTAGGAATCAAATGTCAAATGCATCAATTAGGTATCATGTTGCTGTGGCCCCTACTTTCTCCCACACTTTTTATCCTTCATTTTTATAACTCCTCATAAATGGAAAAACGTTGGTTTTAGGCTATTTTTCACCAAACCCAGCCTTTCATAATAACTCATCCAGATAATGTCATTTTTCTCCTTTTTTTATTTCATTTCTAAAACTAGGTTTGGCAGAGATTAAAAAAATGAAAAAAAAAAAAGTAAAATAGAAGTGAAAGTTGTTTCATGGAAGAGTTTTAAGACTATTTAGTTCAAACTTTTCATTTTATTATTTATTAATATTAAGTTTATCAGTGTTTATATGTATGATTAGTATATTATTATTATTATTCTTGTTTATATTATCATTTATCCTTTTTGTTAAATTTATTTTTATATATTAATATTAATATTAGCGTAAAATGATAAAGAAGATATTTAATTGAAACATAAAACAAACAAAAAATATATATGAGAACTTTTTAGGAATTTATGATGATTTCTATATGTAATGGTATTGCTGTTGTATTATTTGTTAGAATGTAACTTCAAAAATTTGGGTTAGGGTAAAATTTGTGGTTTAAAAACTATTTATAAATTGAAGAAAAAAGTTTAATTATTAAATTTTATATTACTTTACATATTTTGATATTTTTATAAGATGGATCTATACACAGTAAAGTGTAAAATTCATTTTTAACATTCGGAGATTTTGCATTTATACATGTTTTTTCATGCTATTTTCAACGAGTAAGATCAAATAAGCCTTTTTAATATAATTTATTAAATTTGTAATTATTAAATAACGTTTTGATTATTATTTTTATTTTGTCATATTATTTTTTTATATTAAATTAATTTCACTATTATTTTTAATATTAATTTATTCTCACTATATTTAAAAGTGAATTAATACTTTCATTTAGCACCGTTAGGTTGAGGTGTGATACTTTAACACAACATGTTATTATTATAATAATAATAATAATAATAATAATAATAATATCTATGCATAATTATGCTATTTTGATTTTTGTTAGACATAAATTGAATATTATTATGAGTGACATAAATTTAGCTTAAACATAATAATGGATATAATTTTATATTAAACATAATAATCACATCAATTTGCGTGGGTTATGGAGAATTCAAGTCAATTTACATTAGAAAAATTACTAAATAAATATAAAATAGTTTTAAAAATTAAAAAATAGATAAAATTTATATCATTTATATCAATACTTAATATAAATTTTATATTTTTTTTAATATTAGATTTGTTTTTATTTATAACCAACACTTGCAAACATATTTTAATTAAAAACAGTTTAAATTCTAGATTTCCAATAGACACTAATTAAAAAATATAACAATACAATATAATAATATAAACTATAAAAGTTAAATTAGAACAAAGAGTAAATTACTTAAAAGTTTAATATTACAAAACTAAAATATAAAGAATAAACTAATATAAAAGTTAAATTACATAATACAAACAACAACTTACAAATTAAGTACTATAAATGTTAAACAAAAAACTTTATTCACTGCTCTTTAATTTATGTAATATCATGTTCTAATGATGGAGATTGATCTTGATATACCGTGAAACATTAATTTGATTCCTGTTAATATGCAATTTGCATAAAGGCAAATCAACTTAACAAATGTTGAAAATAATTACCTCCAGTCCAATAATCAGTTATACTTGCACAAACTATGACTCTCATCCAATACATAATATAATAACCACAATCAAAGGAGTTTGTTTGTTTATTACATTGAATTAAGAAACAAAACATAATATTATTTTCAAAATTTAAATACAAACAATAATTATGATGTTTATTTATATAAATAAGTTTCTAACATTAGGATAAATGAAGTACAAATTCTTTGTTCCGGGTTTTCCACTTATAACATTAGTTTCAAACATAATTCTAATTAAAATAAAATCAGATATTATTCAATATATATTTACCCTTTAAAAATATAATTAATAGGGAAAAAGAAGAAGATAAAGTTACCCTTATAACAAGCTTTTTATTTATTGACTTGATTTTCGATGTAATGAATAAAACTATACCATAATGTAATCCATGGACATGATTACAATTAAATTCTAATGAGACTTATTGTTGGGTCTTTGTAAGGGGATTCACAAGGGAGAAACACACCAATGAGGTATGAGCTCAACCTACATAAGGATTGACACTACTCTTAATTCAAAATCTTAAGGTTTTGGGTTGAAAGTGATGTCAATCCCTTATGTGAGTTGTATTCATGTGTCATTGTTGTGTTTCTTCCCTGTGAATCTCCCTCGAAAGATCCAACAAGTAGTATCAGAACCGAAGGTTGATCGATAATGGAACAAAGTGATCTTTGTATTGAAAGTCTTCCTAACAGAGTAGGTAAGGTAAATGTATCCCGTTAGAGTGAACAGTGACACATGGAAAGAACACTAGTGAGCTTGAGGGATACATAATGCAGAGGAATTCACACTTGAATTAGAGATTGTTAGGAAATACAAGTGTGAGTCTAAATTTCATACTGTGTAAGAATGAGAATGTTGAGCAACATATAAGGAAGTATGACCCATAACCCAATGTCTTAAGGTTTTTGGTTCAGAGTGATGTCAACCTCTTATGTGAGTTGTGCTTATGTCTCATTGTTGTATTTCTCCTCTGTGAATCCCCTCAAAAGACCCAACACTTAAATTATATCACATAAAAATTAATTATAAAATTAACATGATAAAAAAATACAAATTAAAATGTTAATCTTTCAATGTATAGATCAAAGTATATATGTTTTTGTGAGTCACTCAACCATGTTTACATATATTGTTGGATTCTGACCTTTGTATTTCTAGATTTTTGGATGGATTGAAGCTCAATAAATTCATATACTTTGAATTTTTGGAAATGTTTCATCAATCATCTTGCATTGTGAATAATCAACTTGATGTTGAAGAAAATTGTCACATTTTCTACCATTCACATGTCATGTTAAGTTTCTTATATCTTCTTTTATGGTAAATAATATTTATATCTAGGTATTATTGACAAATGTCATAACACCTTAACAGGGGACATTTATTTCTTCCTCACCACTACTTCCATCAACTATGTTTTTGAACCATGACAAATCATATGTCGGACACATTTTTAATGTAGCAAAATCATTTCTGTACAATATACAATTATTAGGGTATGCATGTATCTTCTTATACTCTAAACCCATTAGATATAGTAACTTCTTTACCTCATAGTTACGGTTAGGTAATGTGATATCTTCCGGAAGCATCTCCTTCAACAATTCCAATAATTCAGTAAAACTTTTATTAATTCATCCATTTCTTGCTTTTAAACTGAACAATCTTAAAAATTGTTGATAATCTTATAAAATTGGATCTTGTGTACAATTGTTGTTCAAAATCATATTGCAAATAATCATACATATGTGTTTTCTAAAATTTTCTTCACCAATGTCACGTATCATATCCTCTAAATTATCATTCATCACTTCTTCAAAAATTTTTGTTGTTGACATAGTTGAGGTGTTTAATATTTCTCCATGTCATGTCATAACTCTTAATACTATAGACAAACAAGTAATCACGTATATACCCAAATTCATAACAAAATTATTTAAAAAATGAACGCATAGATAATAATATGTCCCTTTGATATGTTTTCCATTTTTACGAACAAATTTCAAAAATTTCTCAACTCTCTTTTCATACTCTTCACTAATACGATGTACTTTCATCAAACTCTAATTCATATTTACCTTGTCACCCCTAGAGATTCAAACACAAATTCATATTAAAAAAAAAACTAACATACAAAAAAACAAAAAATGTGAGATTCAAACAACTAAACCGTGTAAACATAAAAATGTAATGTAATGTATATACCGTAAATGCACTCAAATGAATAAACGGATAATCACAAACTATAACATTTCAATTTCAATAATAATCCAGTGGATACATTCATGCAATAACGTGGTTGAGATCCTCATAAACAATCACGGATTCAATTTGGCCATAAAAGAGAAGACATATAACACTATTCTCAAATATACAAAAAATATTCTAAAACTCGAATTTAAGCAGAGAGAAACATCAACCACCACAAATAGAAACAATGTAAATGTTTTTATTGTTCATTGTGATTGAAATGTACCCTGATTGGAACTGAAATTATCAGTGTCGTCATTGTCACTCTAACACCTGGGCATGGGAGGAAAAAGAAACACTAAATAAAATTAAAACTGTAACTTTTATATCAAAACCTCGTATCGACAAACTAAAAATTGTTTTTTACATCGATTAGAGAATTACCCGACATAAAAAATGATTTTTACATTAATTCTATAATATCCGACGTAAAAGTTATATCTTATATTTATAAATATGTCATCTATATATTTTTTTTAAGTAAATTATTTCTTATGGGATGAAAACTATATTAAACTTTATACCACATTTGCATTGATTTGTCATACACATCACTAGTACATTAACATTATATTATAAACACTATTACATTGAGATTATGCTGCATTTTTTATTGAATAAGTAACAATATTAATTCACTTAAAAAAATTAAATTTATTTAACACTGAAAATAATAGTAGAAATAGAAAAAAAAGATGAAAAATCTTATTTAGTCTTTTACAATCTATATAGTTAGGTCGTACAACAATAAACATAAAACTTAATTAAATTTTTAAAAATATTTTTATATTAATAAATTTATTATAAAAAACAATATCATGATATTAGATAGTTTTTTTAATTATTGATATAAAATAATGCTAAAAAATATATTTTTAAAATAATATCAAAATGAAATTGAAATGAAAAGATTAGAACACGACTAAAACTCATTTTGAACAAAAAAATACATAGATATATTTTCAAATTTAAATTCGTTAAAATAAACTTTTTATATGCACAAGCAGGAAGGTTAAATTAGGTGAGGTTCCACCCAATCCATTCTTACTTTTAACAGAACAACTTTACTAAACTCCATGCTTTGGTTTTGGCCATTTAAACTATTGAAAACAAGAAATTGATTCATGATATGTAAAACGACAAAAAAAATAAAGAAGGAAAACAAGGTCCTTTCCAACATAAACTTAAATACTATATTCCTAGTTTGATAATTAAAAACACATCCTCTGGTTCGGTTAAAATAACAAATAGGAACTGGGCCTAGGCACGTGACTTATCCATCTGTTTTTAATAGTAAGGGAACCCACCTTTCATGCAATTTTAAAATTCACTTTCTTCATTCAACGCCCACTAGCTTTTTTCACAAACCATTATCATAAATAACATACAAAGCTAATAGCATTTTTCTTAAAACATTACCATAAATGATAGATCTCAATTCGACTTATTTTCATGTTCTATGCAAACATTCTTTTAGCAATATTCTTAAGCCCTGATATAAAAGACATTAAACATTATTTTCATGTTCTCTTGAAACATTATGTTTAACATAAAATGGTTTGCATTGACTTTTGCGCACTATCTTAGGACTAGTTAATTTTTTGTTATTCATAATGTACGATTACAAATTTTTTTTTGGGAACCCAGAAATTAACCATTTGACATTTTGGTTGAAAAGGTAAAACAAAAATAGTAGGGGGGGGGGGGAAAAAGCACAGAAAGGCAATGTCTAGGGGGAAAGGCAGAATCGTACAGTACAATCCAAGTCGAACCGGACCCTCCCGGAGAGGCATGTACATGTGTCATGAAATAAATAAAAAATGATGTGAAAAATTAGTTTTAATTTTGTAGAGTTGAATTGAATTTTAAAGGTGTGGTGTTGGTTTAAATGGAATATTGTTTGTAGTCTTAGTACATTCTATTTGGGCCACCAGTGGTAATAAAAGTAAAAAATAATGAAACTGCAGTGAAGACGCACATCGATTTCTTGATACCATAAGCGAGGTAAGGTACTTACTTACTAAGTTGCTACTATCACACTGCAAAATTAAATAATGGATGAGGAATTGAATAGTATAGAATACAGCCCCACCCACGTACTCAAGTGAGAAATGAGAGGCTACACGCTTTCCCTTCAAAATATTTACTCCCCCTTTCTACTCCTATTTTTATCTGACTCACTTCACATGACTACCTGCAGCAACCAAAGGAATCTGACATATTTAATAAATAAATCAAACCAAACCAAGCACTTCTCTCTCTTTCTGTTTACTCTGTCACCCATCACTATTGCAGTATTGCAAACTCCATTAAGCAAAAAATCACTCTTTTTCTCAACCCTTTTTTCTTCCACCATCCCAATCTCTTCCTTTCTCTCCGTTCTAAAAGGCAATCTACTCTCACACTCTCTCTGTGCCCGCTTGGGTATACTGGCTCTCCCAACCATGGAAGCTTTCACCTTGCTCAAATACTGGAGAGGCGGTGGCGCTCTCGGAATCCCACCTTCCTCCGACACTTCCTCTTCACGCGCTGCCCCCACCACCACCACCACTATCCTCACCGCCGTCGAAAATGAAAATGCATCCGAAAGCGACGAGGACAACGACAACGACGACGAAGGTCCCTTCTTCGACTTAGAATTCACCGTTCCCGACGAAGAAGCTAGCGAAAATTCAAACGCCAACCGCACCCAAGAAGACGAGGAAGAAGATATAAACATCGAAGAATCTGACGGCGAGAGAGAGTTTAAGTTTACTCTGTCCCCTTCCAGCAACGATCGTAGTGATCCGAACCTTTCGCTGTCTCCTTCGGAGGATCTGTTCTTCAAGGGAAAGCTGGTGCACGTGGACCCTTCCTCCTTCTCCGAAACTAACGCCAAGCCTCAGTTCACCGCCTCCCTGCTAAAATCCGCCACCAAATTCCGCGTCTTCATGTTGGGCCTCAAGAAGCCCAAGCCCACTGACAAGGACAAAGATCCCAACTCCTCCAACAACGCTTCCGATTCCGCGAACCCAGAGGCCCACAAAGACAAGAAGCACTTCACCGTCAAATTCAAAGTGGAAGAGGTCCCCATCGTCTCTCTCTTTACCTCCAAAGGGAACAACAAAACCCAAAAACACACTTCCCATGAACATCATCAACAACAACAACAACACCCTTCCGAAGAGAAACGTTTCTCCAAAGAAGTCATGCAAAAGTATTTCAAAATGGTTAAGCCTCTCTACATTAGAGTCTCCCGCCGCTACGCCGACAAGCTCGCCTTAAACTCCGCCGCTAAATCACCGGTTCCGCCGCCCACGCCCGAACCAGAACCTATTGTCGGCGCCGAAACCAACCTCAAGACAACTCAAACTCAAAAACTATCTGCAGGGCTTAGTGTTGTGTGCAAACATTTAGGGAAAAGCCGTTCGGCGTCTTCGGCGGTGGCGGCCGCGCCGACGCCGTTTGTGTCCTCAAAACGGCGCGATGATTCGCTGTTGCAGCAACAGGATGGGATTCAAGGAGCCATTTTACACTGCAAGAGATCCTTCAATGCTTCCAGAGCTGGTAATATATTAGTAATAGTAATTCATTTTCTGCTTTGCTTTTTATTTTTAATTTGCGATATTTAAATAATTAAAATTATATGGAGTGTTTGTGTGTACTTTGTTGAAACAGAGTGCGAGTCTTCACAGCTTCCGCGTTCTGTGAGCCATCCGTCGCACGAAATATCCATGAATGAGGGCAATGAGAAGCGCCTTTCGACATGATTCAAGAAATATTGGTTCCTTTCGAGTGTCACCACCGGCGGTGTCAGTGTGTAAAAAGGAGAATGTTATTACTTAGATTAGATTTTACACTACTAGGAAGTGAAAGGAAAAGGTAAAAGTGGAGTGGTGGGGCAGCATGATTTGTTCGGATGAATGAAGCTCGTCATCCCTTAGCTTAGTGACTCTTTTTTTCCTTCCTTGGTAGTGTAAACTGTAAAGCTCTTTCCGATAAAGCGAAAGAAGAATCAGAGCTTTTCCGTGTATGTTTCTCTTGGACGTATCTCTATGTATCTATGTAATGTAGCTCTCTAGCCAGGCCACCTCAAATACCACCCTAAATCTACTCCTCCTGCACAAATTATTGTGTTTGCATCGTGGGTACCATTGACTTCATTTGTTTATTTCCTTCGTTTTTTTTTTTTTTTTGAGGTCTGAATAGTCGAGGTGTTTTCGTGAACATAATGTTTGGGTGGACATAATTGGGTATTTTAAACCTGGTGTAGCGGTCAAGGTCCGGGTAGAAAGAAGGGGTTAACCTAATAATTATTGCTGTAGATTTCATAAAGTTTGAAACTTTTAATAATATGAAGCATCATAATTACTCGAGAGAAGGGAAAATGCGGTCAGAGAAGTGGGAAAGAGAGCGACATGAGCAGTGAAAGTTAGATTTTCTTTTGGGGAAGATAGGAAAAGAGTTTTTGACTGAGAAAAGAGTGTGAGAAGGGTGGAAGTGGAATTATACACAGGATAAGAGTGTGTGTGAATGCTAGAAAGAGTTACGTTCTGTGCTGCATTTGTTTGCATAAAAACTGGTTTGGCTCTTTGCCACTCCAATCAATCACATGTGTCTGAAGGCATAGCTAGCAGGTATCGAAATTGGTGAAGCTGTGCGTGTTTTATTAAATTTGGTGCACCGATTCGTGCGTGTCGGGATACAACGTCGTATATTCAATTTGTCTGTTTGTGTGACATTAGGACCCCCAAGATACCCCTACTAAGGGTTCAGGCCACGTCATCCTAAAAGTTGGATTGGAACCCCCATCCACCATCCCCAGTCCAATGGGCCCTACTCAGCTCCATCATGTTGGTTTCTAGGGCCCGTCATTTGGACCCACTTGAAAACCCAGTTCCTTAAATCTTTCCCACCGCTTGCATATGTCATGGTATTAAACTTTGTCGTCATTTTGGTTTTAGAAGGGGACAAGATTATAATAAATCCATGACGGGTTACGTCGCAGAGTTTGAAAATGAGACGAATGCGAAAATGAGCACATATGCAACTATGATTTGGCTTTGACACCGAAATTGCTTGTGTCCCCGTTTTTAGGATCGATAACATCTCCTGATTTAACACTTCTCTGTATCTTCCTGGACCCTGAGCGCTTACTGTTCAAACTTGATGGAAACTGTTCCCTTATGTCAACAAATAACGTTTAACATAATAACATACACACTGAATGAAACATGGGATTTGTCATATTCGGCCATTAATGAAAACTTTCATACCCAATAAAATAGATTATTTATACATCTAATTAAACTTTTTTTTTTAATTTCTGCTGTAGGCAAACAAATATTTCATCATAAATATTTATTATTTATAATAATAACCTCTCTTTTTTCGCTATATTATACATAAATGACTCCATAGTTATATTTACAGACAAATTATCAAACTTTCCAACCTTTAAATGTTTTCGCCAATATTTTTCTTATTCAGCGTTCCTTTACCTACATCAGGGACCTAAATATAATATTAGAAGTTAGAAGTTTATATAAAGGAAAATAATATTAATTCAACTATAAGTACTCTTAATTCAGACACTATTAAAAAAATTATGAATTTAATCTCTCAATTATTGTCTTCTCTATTATGTAATTTCTATAATAAAGCAAAATACAAATAAAAATATTAAAAAATGGAATTAATTCTTCAAATATTGAATCCATGTCATATATTGAGAAAACCCTACTTTTTGAGTTAAAAAAAAATTTAAAAAGTTTTAGCCTGACCTTTTAAAAGATTCTGTTAAATAAAAAGATTAAGGTTTATGTTTAAAAAATAATTATTGAGACTTTAAAACTATCATAAGCTTTTTTATACTCCCATAGGTCAATGAGTATTTATAAATGATTTAGAAAATATTAAAAATAAAAAATCAATAAAATTATTATGTAAAAATCCACTATCTAGAGAAAAATCTTTATATTCAGAAATACTAGTTAAAGAGGACCAGAAATTTGAATCTGTTATTTTGACCCAGAAGAATGTTAACACATGAAGGGAGGACAAGAAGTTGTAGTCCAATAGTAACTAATTTTTGTATTGGTTTAACAATTTTTAATCCAAATCATATAATTTGCATGTTATATTTTTCATAAGTTCAATTTATTTTAATTGGAGATAATGAATTTATTCAGTTTAATTATAGAAAATATATGAAAAATAATAATTTTATTTACTATTTTTAATAATGACTTAATAGTGTAGAATCGAATACTTTTTGAAAGGCAACGAAAATGGTTTCCGATCCCTGAAATGATCCAATGATTTTAATAATACGTACTATTGGGCTTATTGGGCTTTTCTCAACTATACTTGAATCTTCTCTTATATTATAAAACACTTTTTAAAGTTCATAATATTTTCATACTTAAAATAGATGAGTGTATGTTAATATAGATTTTACTATGAGTAATTTCTAAATCTGAAAATGAATTTATATTTTGAATCACGAAGCTCAATTCCAGAATCTTGAAGACTATTAAAAAGGTCCATATATCCATCAGTGGCAATTGATTCTTAGTTTATTTGTTATATTTAATATGCCAATAAACAACTTTTAGTGTCGTATACTATATATATAGATTAATTGTTTAATCATCGAGTTTTACATACATTTTTTTTATATTAAATTAATTAAATTATTTTTTAATGATATTTAAATGAACATTTCAGATCTTAGATTCAATTGGACCAAATAATAATAATAATAATAATAATAATAACATATAAAAAATTAAGAATTAAACTTAAATTGTAAATATTTTTAAATATAAGAAATATAATTAAATAAATTAGAAAAGCTAAAATCACATATTTGTTAAAAATAAAATAAAATAAAAGAGGAAGATAATATTGTAATTCAGAAAGAATAATAAAGAAGTGTTTGGCTGAAAAATAACTTTAACATTTGTTTAAGGACTTTTCTTTTTTCTTCAACTTTTAGTTATATTTTCAGTAAGAAGTGTCAGTCTTGTTCCTTAAATCTTTTGATGGTAGTTTATTGGACAGACCCTACAACTTCTTGTGGGCTAAGCAACCATGAATGCTCTTTATTGGGTATGGCTGTTTTATATTATAGTTGTATTAATTGTAAATTTAATAATTGCTGGTAATATATTTAAGAAAAAGCAATCATAAAGGCATAACAAGTTAGTGTTTTCATATTTAGAGTCTATAGTTATAAATATTTGATTTTTTTTTTCTTTCAAAATTCATTATACTCATTAAAAATAACCTTTACACATCAAAATTTTATCCGAATATCACATGCCAGAACTAACATTTTTGTTAAATTAAAACAACTATTTGAGAGGATATATGTAACGTGGAGGGAACTTTAATCCATTAGTAATGTAGCTGCGAAATTTTTATGTGGGTAATTTTGAAATCTCCTAATCCATAAAAACCAAAAAATTACAATTTGGAAGGAAGTTTCCATTGTGTAATAAGAAAATATTCACACAAGTACAAAATCAGAGAAAATTTGCATAATACATGTAAAATGATTTAACAATAATAGACGATAGAAAAGGCAATAGAAGATAAAAGGAAGAACAATAATAATAACCTCAGCACTGGAAATGTTGGGTGGAAAATGAGGTGAAGTTGAGGTTCAAAATGCAAGACATTTGAATGGTCTTTCTCTTCTTCAGCATGTTCAGCACGTGCAGTGTACCACTTAATTTTGCGTAGCTTCTGAGTTTGAACATGTCTGAATGAATATTATTGGGTGCATCTTCCTTTACCAATACCTTCTTTCCGAACCTCATATGAATGGTCAAGTCCATTTCTTTGGTTTCCTTAGCCTCCAAGGTCGCACCTTTCAATTTGGAAGCACCAACACGCACACTGGAAGTCCCATACAGCACGCTCACTGTGCTGGTCCCGTAATGGAAGGAACCCAAGTTAGGGTTGGTGAGGGACACGCGAGCAATGATGGTCACATTAAAGGGAGAGGTTGAAGAAACGTTACGATAATTAGTAGAGCTACTCTTCTGCATCAACCTTGCTGATTTGAATTCAATTTTGGGATCTCCCAAGCGAAAAGTGACAAATGCAAAAATAAGGCAAACGAACAAGATGGCCACAAAGATAGCCAAAGTGTACACCAAACATTTGCTGCTTTTTTTATCTTTTTTGCGTGATGGGAACACCGCGATCAGTTCCTCTGTCGTGATGCTGTTGTTTGCATATCTACCTGCTGGATTCCACAAGGACTTCGGCATCGTTTCTGACATTTCTTTTCTTCGTTCACAAACTCAAACTTTAAATTTGCATGCCAGAGTTGGCTTTGGCCAGTTTGGAGAAAGCTGAAAAATGAAGTCTTTTTGTGTTGGGGGAGAATACATGGCGACTTATAGCTCTTGTAGGAAAAAAAGAGAGAGAGAGAGAGAGATTTCTTTTCACACACTCATGATTTTTTATTATTTACTCCTTCTCCTTTTCTTGTCTTTCTTTCTGCTTCTAATAACTGTATTATTCGTCAGAGTATCGAATAAATTCTCCATTTGTAATGTAGTTTCACATGGAATTAATATATCAAAAGTGTTGTTTAACCAAATTGGTCACATATTTTCGAACCAATCAATCTTTAATAATTTGAATATACTACAAATATGGAGTTATTAGGTAGTTGAGATGTGAGAGTAACGGTACTTGGTAATAATTGTGCTAGTGGTACTGGAAAATAGTTGTAGTATAATAGGTTGCTACATATTTCTCATTAATTAATATTTTTTATATTTTTAAATATTGGGTTAAAACTTTTAATTATTATTAAGCTGTAACAAATAATGATAGTTGATAAGGATGTGATAGAACAAAATATCTATTTGTGTTGAATGTGTTTACACCTAACCTTGCAGCTATTGCGTTCTCTTACATAATTCCTTAGTGAGATCATATTTAGTACGAGTTTACTACCTTCAGCTATTCTAATTTCTTCTCGCAAACCTTTGCTACTTTATCTTTTAATTTTCCTCTTTCCAGTATATAGATTCTCTGCTAAGTTATAAGAACAAAAAACTTGGAAAAAAAAACGCGTTAATCTACTTGGACAAAAGAGTGTTGTGGGAAGTTTCTTATATTATATGCATGGTGACACAGAAAGTGTAAGATCCATCTTTGATCCTTCTAATACATGCGTTGGCTTTCATGTCGTTTACACGCAGGAGAGTGGAACTCTATGTGTTACATGTACAATATATGACCCACTGTTTTTACCTTTTTCTATTAGTTTTAGCACTTCATTAAGTTTCGTCTCAAACTTGTTTATAACTTGCTCACTCATAAATGTATTAAATAGTTTGGAGGTGAAAATGTGTTGTTTTTTAAATTTTAGTGATCATTTTTTTTGCGTTTTTTTTAACTCTGAAATATTAATGTTGTCTTTTCAAAATAGTGATTGTTTTCTATACTTTTACACAATTTTGACCTTTTCTTTTACTGATTCAAAACATGAAATTTGTCGAATTAAATATACTAATTAACATGAAAACTTTAAAGTCAAACTAATGTTTGAACAAAAATAAGAGCACTAAAACATGACAAAAGTTTCACTGTTACCAAGATTGTTTCCATGATATTCATAAAACAATGAGTATGCATAAACCTGAGAGTAGTTAAACAGGGTTAGCTTATTAGACGATGCAAACTGGGAGATGCATTACTTTTTTCAATAGATATAAGTTTGTGATTTACGTTTATTTTCTTTTATTCTTGGGTACTTATTTTATAATATTTTATATTCATTTTTTTCACATTATTTCATATATAATATGATAAACTTATATTCATATCGATAATAACATTTATATAGAGCAATTTATATTATTTATTTATTTCTAAATATTTTTATATAATTCTTAATAATACCTAATATTATTTTATTTATAATTTATATTTATTAAGTTTTATTATGTTATTTTTTTAATTCTTATTTGTCATATATTATTTTATCTTAATAAAATAATTATATTTAAAAAAATTAAAAATAATTAATAATTTAAACTTGTATTATTTCAAACTAATTAAATAAGAATTAACTTATTAAATATTTTTTTACAAATTATATATTTCATATTTTTAAATGAAAACTTAAAAATAAAATAACTTATATATATAATCAAATATTTAAATACAGTATTATATAATAATTATAATAATAATAATAATCTACTATATATGTATAAATAAAAAATAATTAAATATTTTTTTACATACATATTTTAATATAAATATAATAAATTACAATATAAATTTAATTAATAATAATTACAAATTATAAAATTATAAATATTTATTTATGTATAAAAAATATATAAAAATAGTAAAATTAATTTATTATAAATATAAATTTTTTAAATAATATAGATTGAGGATGAGATGAGACAGAGACTTGAAGGAAATGAAAAAATCCAGACTTAATTTCTAACCCTGAGACCAAAACCCCATGATCATCCATAAAAATGCAATGTACTAAAGCTCATTAATTTTGCAAAGAAGGTGTAATTAATTTAATTGCTTGTCACTTGTATAAACAAACATAATATTTGACATAACTTGAATGACTTTGACTTTGGCTTAAAATGTTGAACAATAGTTGTCACGGAACATGTATATTAATGGCTATACGACTTTCAAATAATTTTTTATTTTTATTGAAAAAAACGAACAACACTTTTATAAAAAATTAAAGTTAAATTAGTTATATATATATATATATATATATATATATATATATATATATTTATATTTATACAATTTATTCACTTTTGGTCCCTATATTATTAAACTTTATCTAAAACTAAAATAAATACATGAAATTGATTGGTAACTAATTGCACCGCGTCTCTTTATATTATTTAGTTGATATGGGCCCCAGATAAAAACGTATAATAATAGTAAAGAGAAATTAAATTTCATTTTATTCTATGGATTCACAACTAAATATTAAATTTATGCAAATTGAATTAAAATTAAAGCTTTTTTTCATCTTCATTTTTATAACAAATGCGTTAAAAGTAAGTCAAAACTGGAAACTAAGAAGATAATTCAAAATAATATAAAAATAAAGAGAAATACACTTACAAAATGAAGTGAACACAAAGCGAGAGAGAGAGAGAGAGAGAGAACGATTTACAAACCAGAAAAAAGAAAAAACAAATTACCTTTAGCATTGAATATCCTGAATTACGTGGGAGGTGAAGTTGAGCTTCATAGCGCAAGCAGTTTCGATGTTCATTTTGACCTTCATAATTTTCAGAAGACGAACTATGCCACTAAATTTGGCATAGCTCGTGAGATTCAAGCACCCTGAATTCATGTCACTAGAAAGATTAGCAGTGACAGGTATCTCAGCTGAGCTCAAATTAACAATAACATTAATTTCTTTGGTTTTTCTGAAACTGACCCTGCCACCGTTGATGGGCCTATGACCGATCTTCACACCCGCATAGAGCACACTCACGCTGCTATTCTCGTAAGTGAAGGCACTGAGATTGGGGTTCTTGATGCTGAAAAAGATGACGACGGTGGCGTTGAACGAAGGTGATGATGATGAAACGCTGTAACTGATTTGGTTCGACGTAGCTGATCTTATTTTGACACGAGGGTTCCTCACACGCACTATGGATGCGAAAACCAGTAGAAGTGCACATAAGATGACAAAGAAAGCCAGAACGCATACGAAACATTTGCCACTTCTTGGTTCTTTTGGTATGGACTTGTTGTAGTACATGTTTTTCGGTGTCTTGGTCTATTGTTTTATGTCTCAACCAAGTTTGTCTGAATAGATAACTTGAGATTATGGTGGAGTAAGTAAGTTGGTTTTAGAATAAGGAATAGTTTCAAATATCTGAATTCTATGCTTTTCAAATGCTATTGAAATATTGATTTGTGTATTTGTGGAAGTTATAGGGCAGCACGAATTATTGAGCATTTGGAAAGTTTGCTTTGAGATGAAACCTATTGAGAGCGCCATGTGGAAAGACTTTATGTGATGAGATGATGGCAATGTAAGGATAATCCAACTCTGCCTCTATTCTGCCGGCTATAAAAAGCCATTAACGTACGCCACTAAATGTCAGAAAAAGAAAGAGGGAAGATTTTTTCTTCATTTGGAAACGGTTTTCTCATACTCATTCGACATTATTATCTCATCACTGCTGGTTACAAATTTTTTATTATTTTTTAAAATACATTACTACAATTATAAAAAACACGTATTTTTTATATATTTGAAATAAATATTTCACTTTCAATTATTTAACTAACATACTCCTTCACATCAAGAATGAGTTATTCAATATTGATCCGATAAGAGGTGGTTAAATTCATCACTATTAATGATTATTGTCCCAAGATGATTAAGTCCATCACTACTAATATTTTTTGTCCCAACAACTTAAAAGTTACTTGAAAAAATATAAACTAAAATATATTCATTCTCTTATATGAAATAAAATATTATTTATAAAATATAAGATATTGTACCAAACTAGGTTACTAGAAACCTAAAATATTTACAATCATATCAAACCCTAATTAAATATACATCGTCTGTACAATTATATTTTATAAAGAAAATAAAAGGAAAGTAAATATCAACACACCACCTCAAGTTGGTGCATATAAATCCCATATGCTTAACATGACAAGATATTTTGAGAATATTTTATTTGAAAAGATCTTTATTAGTATATCGGTTAAATGATCTTCTAAGTGAATTATAGGCAATTCTATAGTTTTAATGGTAGACAATTCTACAATTTTTTTATTTACTTTTCCTTGATAAATAATCTATCAACTTTAACATATTTTGTTCAATCATGTTGTACCAGATTATGAACAATATCACAAAAAGCTTTATTATCACAATATAATTAATAAGTTGTGTGGAAAAACATCTAAGATCTTACAAGAGAAATCTCAATCATAAACTTTCACAAATTTTAAGTGTCAAACCTCTAAATTCAGCTTTTGTGCTTGACCAAGAGACTACACTTTGTTTTTTGTTTCTTCATGTAACAAGATTTACACCAACAAATGTAAAATAGTTTGATATTGATTATCTATTTTTGAATGATCCAGCCTAATCAACATCAATTTGTTGATAATTTGTATTTTTGGTGAACAATAATCATTTTCAGGTGCTAACTTTATATATTTTAAAATATGTATAATTGCATTCATATGTTACTCTATAGGATTATACATAAATCGGCTAACAATACTTAATGTGTAGACGAAATCTGGTCTTATGTATGCTAAGTACATTAATCTCTCTATAAGTCTTTAATATCTTAATTTATCAACCACGACTTGACCTAATGTAATAGATAACTTCAAACATTCTTCCATTGGTGTATTTGTAGGCTAACAAACTGATACACTTGTTTCTTGTGACAAGTCTAAGACATACTTTCTTAGAGACAAAAAAATTCATTTCTTGGATCTAGATACTTCAATCCCAAGAAAATATTTTAAATGGCCAAAATATTTCATTTCAAACTCTTCTAATAAATACTCTTATAATATTTTACTTTCCTTTTTATCATTTCCTGTAACAATTATATCATCCACATATACAATAAGTGCAGTTATTTTACATTCTGATTTCTTCAAGGATAAAGTGTGATATGAATTACTTTGATGATATTTAAATACTGTCATAGATTTTGTAAACCTTCCAAATTACGCTCGAGGATTGTTTCAACACATATAGTTTTTTTTTTAACTTGCTATTGTATTTTTCAGGTATGATGCAACTTGGTGGGAGTTCCATCTATACTTATTCATTCAATTCCCCATGTAAAAAATATTGTTTACATCAAACTGCTTCAATGATTAATCAAAATTTGTTACTAAAGATAATAATACTCAAACAATATTAATTTTTGTTACAGGAACAAATGTCTTTGTGTAATCAACCCATATATGTTTGTGTATATCCTTTTGCCACCAATTTTTCTTTAAATTATTCTATTGTACCATTTTTTTTTTTGTGTTTGACAAAGTAAATTCATTGATATCCTACTGGTTTCTTTTCTGGTGGACAATTAACAAGGGTCCAAGTGTTATTTTGTTTGAAGTGATATCATCTCCTCGTGGTCTTCCATCTTAGGTCAATTAAAGTTTCTTGCACATTTTTAGGAATAACTACGGTTGATAACTGATTCATAAATATTTTATTTATTTTTTATAATAATTAGATATATAATTACTCAAGGGATATTTAACTTTACTAGAGAGTTCAAGTTCATAAGTTTAAGAATACATTTAGTGAGACGATTTGACAATTGTTTTCTAGCCAACAAATGATTGGTAATATATTCATCAATAATTTCATGTGGTCCTTCAATATTATCATCATTTAGATGTTCACATAGTTCTTAATATTATCCCTATTAAGGGGCTTTTGTGGTGCTTTAATATTATCTTTATTAATAGATTCTTATAATGTTTCAATGTTATCTCTAGTAAAAGATACTTGTGATATTTTAATGTCATTTTCTTCTTTATCTTTAAAATGATAATGATATAAAATTATATAACTTAAATCCATATATTTTAAAGTCTGAACTTTTTTGGATTTTTTTTGTTGGTTCCCTCCTTGAAAATCGTACTCAAAAGCAAAATACATTATATCTCCATGAAAAATCATAATACATATATGATGAGTAGGAGGATGATAACAACTACAACCTTTTTTATATACAATATATTCAACAAAAACACATTAAATGGTCTGTGGGATCAACTTGTCGATTATGAAGATGAACAAATGTAACTCATCCAAATATATGAGGGGGTAAATTAAAAACTACAGGAGTAACAATTAAAATATGTAAAATTTCAAAAGGTATCTTAAACTCAATAGAACTTTAAGGAGTCTGATTTATTAAATATACTACTGAAGTAACAATTTCTCCCTAATAATACAATAACATGTGTATCTCAATTAACAAAACACAAACAACTTTTAACAAATATTGATTTTTTTCCTTTCAACAACTTCATTCTATTGAGATGTATTAGAAAGTAATTTGATTAATAATTCCAATATTTTTTAAATATTATTGTAGTTTGAAATTTTTATATTCTCTACCGTTATAACTACGCAAAATTTGAATTTGAACATTATACTCGTTTTTTATCATTTTATGAAAATTTTTAAATAATAACCTTATTTTTTTATTTTATTAAATATAGTTAAATCATTGTTGTACATTAATCAATAAAAGTGATAAATCAATGAGATCTGCCTAGAATTTAGATTTTAGATAAACTCTATACATCATAATATATTACCATAAAATGTTGAAGACTTTTATTTAAAATTAATGAAAATAAGATCATATGACTCTTTGATTTCACAAACATCATAGTGAAGATTAGAAATATCATACTTCTTAAATAAAGTATAAAATAATTTTTTTAATACTCAAATGAGGCATATGACCGGCGTTGATGTCACAACTAGATTTTAGATTTTTTTTCTCTCTTAGATTATCAACAGTAAATGTATGTTATGGCTCATTAAATTTTTTTAAAGATCTAGGTAATATAAGTTGTTTTTCTTAATATCGTAACTAATTGATTTTTTTGTTTTGATATATTTAAGAACACCAAGAGTCATAATAAAAAATTATCATACACGACTTGTTATTTTTGAAGTAGATAAAAGATTAAAATTTAAAAAAAATTATCAAGATTTAAAGTAATAGTAATATTTAAAGTAATAGTAAAATTTAAATATCATTTTCCAATAATTTAAGTTTTATTTTTATTTGCAGTAGAAATATATTTTTGTAATTCGAATCATCTATATATCAATAAAAGTATTAAGAATCTTACAAAGATTATTTCCAATTGATTTTAGTGTAAATACTTTTTTATTTTGTTTGCTAATAAACATCTTTTTTTCAACTCTAACATTTGTAACTCCTTCTTTTTGTTATAACGTACTTTTAAAAAAGTATTAAAAACTTTAAACAGAAAAAAAACTAAATTTATTTTAAATATATTAAATATTCTTTCTTCCATATTTCGAAAATTTAAAGGATTCATTATTATCATTTAAATACTAATTTAAAAAAATATAAATTAAAATATATTCATTCTTTTTTATGAAATAAAATATATATATCCTAATCAAAATATTTATACTTAATTAACTTACTAAAAAAATTAAAATATTTTTCAATTATATTAAATCTTAATTAAATAATATAAAATCTAAAAATTGATATTTTAGAAAAAAATAAAAATAAATCTCAAACACTTCTCATTTTTTATTTTTTAACTGATTTCAAGAAGTGGGTAATCCAAGAAATACATTGGATGTGGGAAGTTAAACTATATTATAAATGAGTCGGTTTCTTCTTTCACTCTCATGCTTTCTATCTCCACTTCACCCCTAGATGTGCATGAAATCCCGTAGAAACAGAAAATAAATTTGAAATGTAATTCTTGATTAACTAATACAAAGAGAGGAAGATATAGTTTTTAGCATGAAGCAACACGAAATCATGACTGGCCTTTTAGCCCATGTCTGTGTCCTGAAGTGAAAAAAAAAATTAACAGAAATTTTAAAACTTTCTTCTACATTATTTGATGAAAACGGAAAGTCGACTACTACTATTATTATTATTATTATTATTATTATTATTATTATTATTATTTTACTTTACTAACAAATTTATGCATTAAATATCCTTCTATCACTATTATTAATTATGAGAGTAGTATTTTTCAATTTAATATACATAACAGCTTATTTATAATGGATTATGTATATTTTCTTATTTTGTCTTTTATTATTATAATAATAAAATAATATATAATAATAATAATAAAATATATTATAATTTATATTTATATTTATTATAATTAAAATTTATAATAAAATATTTTGATAATTCATATTTTATCTTATTATTTTTTTTAATTAATTAAAATAATTTAATTTTCTATATATTTTTTAATTTTCATTCTCTCAATTTAAACCAAATTTCAAATTTGTTTCTTTCTGTGGGCAGATGGTGTATGTGAGGACAGAGACGTGACTGCAGTTAGTTTGTTTCCAGGTAAAAAAAAATAAAAATAAATATATATATATATATATATATATATATATATATATATATATATATATATTTTAAGAGGGTTGATATTTTGTCACCTCTGTTAGGAATTAAAAAATCAATATTATTTCAGTACGGTCAGAGACATATACTAATTTTTTTCATGTTTTTTAAAAATCAAATCGTAAAAAATTAATTTTAAAATAAATAATATTTCATAGATAAAAATTAATTAAAAATATTATTATAATAAATATAAAATCGAATATTTTCATTTCTAAAAAATTTAGTATGATAATAAGACTTATTTTATATAAAAATGAAAAATAATAATAATTTATATACATTTTTTTTAATATATTAAGCTTCAAAACGAATATTATTTTAAAAAATAAAATCGTTAACCTAAATAATGTTTTATCATTATTAAACACCAAATATAATATTAAATAATATTATTTTATTAATATAATAAGTTATTTATATATATATATATATTATTTATGAAAATAAAATTTTATAATATAATTTATTATCTCTAACATAATAATTATTTCATAATTAAAAAATACTTTTTTTATAAAAATAATAAGTTTATTTTATTTTTTTTTAATTTAATATATATTCTCTCAAATTCATTAACAATCCAAATAAATCATTATTGAGAAAAACGGTGGTGATTAAAGCGGTGAAAGGAGGTGCCCAACATGTATATGGATTTGAGTTTGTAATAATGTATGTAAATGGCGAGCAAAAGGAAAACATGATTTGTATAGATAGATAAATGATGTTGAATCCGAAATATATATATTCATTTTATTGCAGATAGCGATTATCAGTAATAGTTAACCAAAGTGCGTCCTCAACTTTTAATTAAAACTTGCAAGGGCAATGTTATAATTGGTTAAATATATGGGGTGCAGGAAGCAACTGCCTTTATCGAATGAGAGTATGAAAGCAGATTTGTTGCAAAAACATCCAAAATATTTTTGAGTGACCATTATTTTGATAATTACAAGTATTTTCTTTATGAACGGATTTGTAGTTATATTTTCGCCAATTTCACTTGAGATAGGAAAAAGGCACGGGATAAAGAAGGGAATACTATTAACAGTTTAATGTACAGTGTATAGATCTTCTTTTTGAATAATAAATCCAAGCAGAAGCCGCAGGATTCAAACACCGGTTTCACCCTCCATTATTCTAGGAAGATACTGGAATTCACTTGAAGAAATCGAGAAATCACTGTATGTTTGTCGTCATGTATTTTTTTATAAATAATCGTTTTCAAATATATTTTTTTTTATATATTACAAAATGATTAATTTTTTCAAAAAATAAATTATACACACATTCTGTTCGACCTATGTCTTTCTCCTTAGCCAGAGCACTACCTAATTCCTTTATATCACTTTCAAAACTGTTTTATATTTTCAATCGGATGTATCTGCCAATCATCTATGCGATACGCCAGAATGGGGGAATGTATCCGAACTTAGATGTTGCTGTGTTGTAACGGCAAGATTTCCTTTGCTCACCCCGCACATGTATGATGAAATGCCCAGCCATCTTCTATACTTAAGTTTTTTCGCTTATTGAATAAATCTTATAATCTGGCCACGACAAGTTGCTAAAATGAAGGGTTTAAGTTGTAATGTACTTGTGTTGACTCTTGGTCTGATACGAAGCCCTTAGAAATGTTCCTTATGGAACTCAAATTTTGTTTGACCTTTTTCGTTGAACTCGAAGCAGAGCTTGCTTAATTCTTTGGCCAAAACCGGTGCGCCACAGTAGAACACCCCTATTGCGAATTGAGGATGTCAGTACAAGATGAAAAAATATCTATAAATTTATTCTTGACGGGGATTGACTGACCTATTCGTCCATTGCAGTGCTTAGAACATATTCTAGAGAAAACCTTCTTCCAGTTAGGCCTAGCAAAATGAGTTCTCACCTGGTAGTAAATTCAGAGATGGACATCAGGGTTTTAGAATCAACTTGGTCAATACTGAAAAACAAACTCTTTATGAATTTTGTTTCTCCAAAACTAAAACTTATGAAGGGTACAGTAAACGGCAAAAATCAAAGGCTTACCCTAGTCCCAGAAACAATATCAACTCCATTTTTTGCGTGGTTGAGGGCTTGCACCATTGTAATGAGGGCGGATCTGGCATCGCCTTCCTCGTATACGCTGGTTAAGTAGTTGTGCATCTCAATAACACCCTGAAGTCCATAATTAGACATTGAAAATTACCTAACGCAACTATGACTTACTCATCAGGCAATAAAGGATATGAATACTAAGAACTTTTCCAGAGAAAGTCTTAAAAAGATAAATATTCTATAGCATTTAATACCCTTTGATCAAGTTCGGCAACTTCATTCATGACCCCTTTAAACCAGTCGAAAGAACCTTGTTCTCTTGTTACCCAGTAGAAATAAGCGTTGGTAGTCTTCAGTGTCTTCTTCCTTTTCGGAGAAATCTTATTAAAAGACAGTGAATCTGCACTCCCAGGGCTAAGGTCTGAACCTCTACTTGAATCAGAGACTGAATCCTGGATAGTAAGCAACAGGACAGTTACTTTGATAGTAAATACAAACCTTGGGAGATTGGTCAGTTTGGCAAGGCTTGTTATATCAAACACCATACATTTTTTTTTTTTTTTTTTACATTTTTATGTGAAGAAACATGAACAAATATTTTGTTAATGGATGCGCTAAAACTCACCGCCAGCTCCTCCATTTTAACAATGTTGTTGAGAAGATCTTTTAGAATGCTAATAAAAGGTGTTGCTCCTATTCCGAGACCGACAAGTAGTAGGACATCATAATTTCTGTAGTCTTGTGCTGGCGCACCGTAAGGTCCATCTATCCTTAGCTTTGGTAAGCTGTGTAAATTATTGATACCAAGAAGATGACAGGAATCTGAGCATAAAATTTTTTTCTGAGGGCAAAGTTACAAGGCAAGCAAATATGGCAGGTCCATCACGTACCATTTCTTGGTGGTTTCATCGGCCCTGAGAAGGCCGCTCTTCCCAGCTACGGGAGGCTCACAGGCCGCAGAGAATACCCTTTTGAGCTCCTGTGTCCAATCTCCCAGTTGCCGTATGTGAACACTTAGGTAATCATCGCCAGGGGCAGAGGTAATAGAAAACGGATGCCTGTCATACATGCATTGTATTGTTAGATTTAGCCAAACATGGAAGAGTGATTCGTAAAAAAGTAAAATAAATACAGAAAGATGTAAAAGGTGATCTCATTTCAATTTTTTCTTTTTCGACATCTTTAGAGGGGTTAACCATTTAAGTACTAAATTCGTTTTCTCTCCATTTTGTGGTTAGAATTTACATGAAGCATGAGAAGTTCAGCTACTGCAAAGTAATGTAGAAAAAGAAAGAAAATAGCAACCTACCACTCAAATGGAGAAACAGCCGGACATTGCACAAACATGTATTGTCCACTCTTGTAACGAAATTGAGGGGGCTTCGACATTTGCAATGTCAGAACATTTCCAGGATAAATGGCAACCTAATGTTATCACACAAAAAAAAAAATCCGTGAGTTCGAGTTGCATCGTTTTTGTTTAGCTTATTGAAAGCAGCGATGATTCCGGTCCCATAAGTTTTTACTTTTTAGCATTGTTCACTATGGCTGTGCTAGATTAGCCAAGAGCATTTGTAAACAAAAATAAGTAAAGTAAAATACCAAATTTATAGCAAATTTGATTATTTTTTAAGAAGCTATTAAAGCTATTTTTATCTGCTTGCTTACCTTCATAAGACGGACTGTATAGAAACCAGAACGGAAGAATCTTAGCGTTCTTTCGCCCACATAAAGTAAAATTGGAACTGCAAGATACATCCATGTCTGAAAAGAGAGATCAATGCGTTAAAAAACCAAACCTTTAATAATGCTTCTAAACAATTGAAATTTGAAACTACAAGTTGCATACCGTTTGAAGGTGCCATTTGCGCTCTAGGTAAAGATTTACACCATGAATGATGAGCAGGACATAGACAATGACAAATAGATGGTGTGAGTACCAGAACGCATTGAAACCAGTGAGCCTATTAAACGGTTTAGGAAGCTTAATAAGATTTCTTCTGAACCATTTTGTTGCAAGAGTAAATGCTATTGCCATCAAAATCACCATCAGAATTCCAGTCATGCCCTCAACCCCGATAACGAGGTCCCCGTAACTGGGTTTATGATCACCAAATACGCCACCCAAATACGTCGCATAATTTTTTTCGGACGAATTTACAAGTCTTGGAAAATCACAAGCAAGGTGATTCCCGGCATGAAGTATAACACCAATCACTACTGCTGCGGCAATTGTCTGTAAACATCCATAACTTAACATTACATCCTTCCCTAGAATCTACAAAAATTTATCGTTGTGGTTTCTATTTGCCAAATAAATGGAATTTTTATTGGTAATAATTAAATAGAGTTTAATTTATGATACGCATTTTAAAAGGTTTTCACAGTGCGAATATTTTAAAACGTATTTAACATACACTATTAATAAGACGAGTTTTGCTAATAAGTGCGATAAAACAACTAATTCTAAAGAAATTTTAAAATATGCATATTAATACTATAATTAAATATTGTAATATATTAAATATTTTATTGTCGTTTTAATATGAATACAAATCCCTTATGACCAGATAAGAAAGCGTTACTGATAATTTAAGAAAAAAAAACATTATGAATTTTAAATGTAAATTATTTAAACTAGAAAAAAATTACTGAAAATTAGAAAAAAAATTAAACCATTTTATTCAATTTTTAAATAATTTCCATAATAAAATATTATTTTTACACAAGGAAAAAATCTAGTCTTGATTTTATGGATGAAGTAAAAAAAATTTCTAATAATATAGACTCAACAATATTTTAAAACCGATCAAAAATTTTGGTTTAGTTTAAACAAAAATATTATATAACACATTTATTTATTTATTTTGTTGTTAAATATAAGTTATAAAGTATAATTGAAGTATTTATAATAATTGATTTAAAATCAATATTTAAAATTTTATTTATCTTTCGAACTCTCTCCTATTCAACGGATAATATAACAAGTACATCTTCATAAAATTTAAAATCAAATTTTTATTACTTTAACCAGTTATAATATTGATACTTTAAAAATATACTATATTTATTTAAAAATATATTGTCTTAAATTATTAATCCTTAAAAATAAATTTGACTATAATAATATAAAAAAAATACTAAAACAAAAGAAGATTACAACTAATAAAATAGATAAAAATTATGTTTTAAGTTTATTATTTTTTTAAATTATATATATATATATATATATATAATAAAATATATTATCAAATTAATCTATTATACATATATTTTATAATAAAATAATAATATTTTATTTTATTAATAAAATAATAATTATTTTATAAAATAATCCCCCATAAATTTAAGGATTAATTATGCCTAAACCCATTTAAGGCCATAAATTTGTTCACCTGCCCTGATTTATTTTTCGGCAACGTCCAGTAGCTTCAACGTGTTTTCTGGTGGTGTTGTGAGGGGGCTTACCTTATGAAAGTTGATGTTATCATCGAAAGGTGCAACATAAGCCAACTTGGTGGACCTGAGCCACGTTATGGTATTTCTGCAGACCGGAAATAGTATAAGTGCCATGTTCAACTTGAGAGTCTCAGCGGCACCTTTGGCCGCGAGGAGACAGTAACCCATGACGTGATAAGCATTTTTTCGCTTGTACTCGATGAACTTCCACGTAAACAGCCCGATCATGGCGGAAACCCACAGTGCTAAAACCCAAAGTCTCCTCCAATTTTCCTGCAAATAGTAGATCATCCTGCGGCTCATCCTACGTATTGGGCTTCTTGCCCTTTTTCCTTGTAGGTTCTGGCTCAAAGCTTGACTGGTGTAGCTTAGTGCTTGGCTGTAGTTGAGATACGTGTCCTTTTGTAACAGAAGCGTCTCCAATTGCCATAACTGCAGCCACACCCACCATAAAAATATCGAAAAACTATGAGAGATTGAGTCGTATGTGTAAAACATATTTTAAATTGTCAACCTTATTCATCATTCATGATTCCATTATTTCCTACATATAGCGCAACAAATGCAGCACGCGCACGTTCGAGTTTAAGGTGTATGTTTGCTAAAATCAAGCATGATGAAAAGATATATGGACCTTAGAAACACAAACATCACTAACAACAATTCTTAGTTTATAAATAATTTTTTGTGCTATATTTTCTCACATAAAAAAATCATTTTCCTATGAATAAGAAAGAATTTTGTTATTAAATTAATTTATCATATATCCTACTAGTAAAATAATTTTATATTATCAATTATTAATTCATGAGAAAATGTTATTATGACTTCTAAAATAGTTATTATAAAACTAAACGAACTTATAATATATGACGATTAATTGAATGATCTCGTAAAATTGTTTACATTAAATAAACTATTTTGTATTGTTATTTTAACTCTCAATGGTGTTAAGCAAGATGATGACATTTTAATTTTTCTTTTTAAAAGATTTAATTTATTACTAAATTACATATTCTATTTCATGACTTACTTTTGATTAAGACCAATATAAAAGCATTAAAAAAAATTAAGTTTTTATATATTATATTCGGGTCTTATGCATAAAAAATAAATGATAATTTTAATTTAAAATCATTATTTTTTTCTTATAAAATATAATCGAAAACCGTACTAAATAAAATATTCTTTGGTTAAATAAATTAATATGGCCACCACAATAGATAAGTAAATGATTTGAAGTAACAACCTAATCATTTTATGTGCATAGTGACGAAGGTATCCTAATTGACTATTTGTAACAGCCATTGACAAAACCAAGTATATTAGTCTAGGCCTCTGGGGTACACCTATTAATTAACTTTAGCGTGTAAATTTGCTAACCAATTTCGCCTAACTTTATATATATATATATATATATATATATATATATATATATATATATATATATATATATATATATATATATATATATATATATATATATATATATATATATATATATATATATATATATATATATATATATATATATATATATAAGGAGCAAGCTGGTCATGCATTGACTTGATTAACCTGTATGTACGTATGAACCTAATTTACTTAACAAAACAAAATAAGTGGTCGTTTTCTCAAGAACACATGGCATAAAATATAACCAATATTAAACATAATATTAATTTTTTTAGTAAAAAAAAATAAAAAGATTACATAAAAAAAATTAACAATGGAAACCAAATTAACCATGGACTGAATTAAGGTTAATGTCTACCACGCACCAATGTTTTCGATTATGACGTACTCAAATATGTTCTGGAATTAAACATATGCATGTATTATTGATAAATTCAGATGCTATAGTTTGTACCAAATTCGCACCTCAATGTAGCCGAGTCTTTCTGGGTCTAACTCTTCCATGATCAGAGCTGCGTATTCTTCCGCCTGCTCTTTCAATCTGGATAACTTATTTGCTGAAGCACTTAGCATAATGATCTGAGAAATGAAATATGACAATTTGTTTAATAAAATATATTGACAAATTTATAAATTCTCGTGTGAGGCAATGTCATCAGCTTTAATAGTAAAATGGAATCTAATAGATTTGATTCCATTTTGTTTGAAAAAAACAAAGGATGAACGAATTAGAATCTTTTTTATTTGTATAGCATTCTCTTTTCAAATACTATCCTTAAGACGAGGCTGTTGATCTTGTTCAATTTTGTAAAGATAAAAACATCATGTTAAAATTTAAAAATTTGTTCCTCAAATCCAAATTTAATAAGAAGAAAAATTAAATGAAACAAATCATAATGATTTTTTTTATTGTTTCATTCCTATTTCTACAAACAAAACAATAAGAAAAAAATCCCTTGACTTCATCCTTTCTCATTTCATCTTATACAGTCAGTTAGTTTCAAAATAGCATATCATTTTTCTTGGCAAAAGAAAGAAGTTCTATTATTCTTATTTTACCAAACCAGACTTTGATAGAAATCGGATCAAACAATCAAATGCGACAATTTTTTTTAACGTTTAATGTAATTATATTCTTAATTGAGAATAACGATTTGCACCAAAAGATTGAGAATATTAATTGATGTTATTCAATTATTAAATAGTTAACTAAATACTAATGGTTATGTGCTGACACCTATAAACTGTTGGGATTAAACAAATCCAGGTAAATCGGTCTAATTTACAAAACAAACACGGAATCATTGGGATGAATAAACTATTTGTTGGTTTGAGAGATGGTATTTCGTATGACATAAGCACACACTGGGACCACCTAAACAAATGTTTAACTTAAATGACCATTCTGCCCCCACCAACCGCACTGAAAGCGTCAATTTTTTAAATTCTAAGAAATTGGTTCAATCAGAAAAATGAGAGCCTATCTATCCGTGTGACCAAAAGCCGGAAAGTCATCGGCCTTAAAGAGGAAATTATTTTTGTATTTCTTTTACACTATCAGAAAAATTAGAAGAGAAAAATGTGTAATATATAAGAAATGCCTTAAAAATATATAATTATTATTCAAATAATACAACTTAACTTTCAACGCATGCCACCCAACAATATCCTTTGTTGATTTGGAATAATAGGAAACGTCCTGAGTGGGAAAGCTGAATAAAAATAATCAATTTACTAAAAACATATTTACACATTAAACAAAATCTATATATATATATATATATATATATATATATATATATATATATATATATATTATGTTGTTTTTGTTTGAGATATAATCTTATCTATAATAAAGATAATATAAAGAGATGTGTCCATTTAATATAATAACCAATGTATAATTTCTCATAGTTATTTTCTTACTTATTTGTGTGAGTAACTATTTTTAACGATGTATAAAGATTTAAATACACATGAGATAATTTGTTTTCAGTTAATTATTAAATTCAAATACGTATTGATGTAGAATAGAAATAACACAAGTGTCATTGAATCAAAATGAAATACTTAATTAAAATTTATTATTGTAATAAAAGTAAAAAATGCAGGTGTCTTTGCTTGAGGAAATTATGAACGAAGAGGAGAAAAGAAGGATAAGATAAAAAAATATTAAAATCCAATTTTAAAAATAAAAGTAAACGATACATACAATTAAAATACGCCTGCAATTAATTGTGTTAATTAAGTGTACATAGCAAGAAATGAACTATGTTCCAACTAAGAAAAAAATTAGCTAACTATGACAAGTTCTTTACTCATGGCAAGTACTTTACATGGCAAGAAATGAACTATGCTCTAACTATAACAAGCTCTTAAAAGAAGTTGTTGATTATGAGTTATGCTACCTTTAATTATTTTACTGCCTATATAAAAATAGTATTCACATTGTTATGCATAAAAAAAGTGTTGAATATTAAAAAAAAAAAGTGCAGAAAAACTATTCGAAATTTATTGGTGAACAGTAAACAAACATCAATATATTAGAAACAAGAAATGAAATGAGAAGTATACCTCTTTCACTTCTTCTTCGGTGATTCTACCATCTTCGTTCTTGTCCACCCTATGAAGATGATTAGGATTTAAATTAGACACGGAGGAAAACGGAACATGATTGAAATAACTAGCAAAGCTTTGCAGGTATTTATTTATTAGATATAAACGTGTAAAATCAAAACTTAAAAATACATTATCCCTATCGCAATTAAAACATTTCATAAACTTGGTTAATTTAAAATTAAAATTATTCAATTAATTATTTAAAACACTTACTTTTCGTTTTAGTATAAAATGTTACGTTTAAATTCTGAGAGATTAAAACATAAAAAGAAAAATAAGATAAAGACTAAACTTTACTTTTTCACATCGCAGATATTTTCATAAAATTGAGAAATCCTTAATTACTAAAGCAAATAACGAGAATACATATAAGAGTGGTGTTTATTAAGAGATAAAGATAGGACAAAAATAAAGTGATAGATAATTTTTAACTAACTTGATTAACTTTCATAAAATAACATTTAGTCAATTAACGCTTACATATCAAAGAAGATCTGGAGCCGCGAATCAAAGCTTTGATCGGTAATTTGCGACCAGAACTCGCTAAGCTCGTCTCTGCTGATCTTTTCAACCCTGAGTCTTCGTCTACGACCCAGAGCATCGAATAGTTCCAGAGCGAACTCCTTAGAGTCCTTCATCCCTTCAACAAAATAAATAAATAAATTATATATATATATATATATATATATATATATATATATATATATATATATATATAAATCTGGAAGCAAAAGCGCATGATAAAGAAGTGAAAATGCGAACACGTGCAACGCAATAATCTGAATTGAAATTTGAAAATGAATCGAACCTATGCATTGCGCAAAATCGGTGCGGTAGAGAAAACCGTCCTTAGCAAGACTATCGAAATTGCTTTGCACCTCGTTCCAGGCATCAACGCCATTGGATTTACTGCTAATGAATTTCAGTCCACGGAGTGCTTTCTTCGTACCGGAGCGGTTGCGTTCAAGCTGAGCACGCTGCTTCCTAAGATCTCGTGCCACCAAAGCAGTTTCAGATCCACCCTGGCTCCACGAGAACCGCCGCAGCTCCGCCTTGAACTCCTGCGAGAACTGCCTCGCCTTCGCAACCGCCTCGGCCTTAAGCTCCTGTGAAAACTGCCGCCATCGATGGGGAGAGCTCCTCCTGATCGACGGCGACCACGCTGCGGACACCGGAGTGTCGTTTCCGCTTGCGGAAACGCCGTCGTCGACGTTAACGACAGTCACCGGCTCAACGCCCCGGAGAACGATGGTGCGATCGTCTTGAACGTCGAGAGTGACCTCAACGTACTCGTCGGCGACGGAGAAGGACTCGGTTCCCGGCGATGTCCCGCCGCTGACGAATGCTATCTCCGGCACCGTGTCGGACGCCCAGCGGCGTTCGTGTTTGGGGGCACCGTTCATGATCAGTCAAAACAGAAGAATGTATAGTTTAGGTACAGGCTTAAATTTTATAATATACAGATATTTTTACATAACTTGATTTGAGTTTGTTATATAATGCGTTAAGGTGCCTGGGAAGTTATTGGAGAGAAGAGAGGAGAGAAGAGAGTAGAGTTTAGTACCATGTGAGGGTGATTAATGTAAAAGGTAAATGCGCTGAGAAAAAGAATCTGCTAAGAAAAAAGACAAGATCGTGTACAGAACTCTTGCGGGAAAGAAAACAAAAAAGTTTGACCAAAGAAGATGACAATGGCTTTGCTTTTGCATAATGAAGCCAGGCACTGTTGTTGTTATATAAGTTAGGACTTGATTATGGGACTTGGGAAGAACAAAGATTACGTGGAATAGTGATAATTATAATCTATATTCTATGATATCAATAAATGGGGGTGTGGTGTGGTTTTATTTAATAGAGAAATGTGTGTAAGTGAATAAATAGTGATGACAAGAAATGAAGAGCGCGACCGCCAAAACCAAAAGACGATGGTGCCTTCTCCTTTTTATATATTTTGCATAAAACTGGGGTAATGGCGGAAGTGGTAGAAATGGAGGGAGAGAGAGAGTGTGTGGTGGGACCGGAAAAATGAAAGCGAAGCCTTATACTTTAATGCCAGTGGGGCCCAGGATTTCAGAGTCTCCGAAGTCGACGACGGCATTGGTGGCCGAGTAAACTCCACTCACGGTTGTCGCCATCAAGAAAATAGTTTATTTTAATTTTGAGTTTTTAAATAAGTGAGAAGGATTAAAGCATCACGTGACACACCAACACTAAATTTCAGGATTCAGCGGACAGTCATTTTTCTTTTATCCTTCTTTAGATTAAGACAATTGTTTTTTCTTTTAAACAGATCATTTAATATTTTTCAGCGCAGATGTTAAATATGCTTTTACATTCTAGCTTTATTTTAATTTTAGTCTTATACATACTTTGAGTATTTTGGGGCACAATGGATAAGAAGAAAGGATTCACTTGACTTAATTATGACAATCTCTGTTCATCAATTAATAATAATTTCCGTTGTGTATCTGTTTTTAAACTTTTTTTAATAAATTAAATCTTCTATTTCTCAAAATAAAAATAGAAAATAGTTTGGTAGTCAACTTAAAACTCTTAAAATCTTGTTTATTTTTAAATAATTAAAAATTTATGACAAATTAATATGTAACAAACAATAACTGATCTAAAAATAATATCAATATTAAAATAATTGACAAATATCATAATGGACCTTTTAAAGAATTAGAGTCTAAATATCTATCATTGATAAATTGCATCTTAATTATTATAAGTTTATCTCAAGGATACTATTTATCCTCATAATCGTGATCACTAATTTGAAATATAAGAATACAATCATATTTTTATATATATAGTGCACGGCAAAACATCTTATAAATAATATATTTCATAACAATTTGAAAAATTACGTAGTGATGGTTTTTGAATTATAGTTATTAAAAGGTAACAAACTTAACAGTTTTCTTTTTACTACTCTTGTTGCTCAACGATAATAAACATATACATTTTTTATTGTTCTCTTATTATTGTTCTATCCTAAAAAGAAAAAGAAATTTATTATTTTATGTTATTCCTCTTCTGACACAATTTTAACGGGTTTAATCAATATATTATATTTTATCTAACACTTCAACAAAATATACTTTTTTATTTTATTCGCAATTTTGAGTGTGTTGAGACATACTACTGAATGAGAAAAAAAAATAAGAGAAGAGTATATCATGAGAGAAAAAATATATATGAGAACTGACACAACAACAAAATGAGTAAAAGAAATTCGAAATGAACAAATTAAAAATTTGACCGAGATATACAATAATAATTCTTATATAATCATTATCCTATATTACACGTAATAAATGTTAAAAAATGGTCATTATTAATAATCATGGTTCTAATTATCATAGTCCTCCTTTCCCACGTATAATTATATATAAAAAAAAAGCTATCGTTACAAAAATTGACATTTTATATATAAAACAGTTTATTTTATAATTATCGTAAAAAATTCAAATTATCTCTCTGTATTTAATGATTCACGTATAACCATAGTTTAATGACATCATATTTTACCTATTTTATACTAATATCCTTAAATAACTTCAATTTCTAAAAAAGAATACTTAAATTATAAAGAAATTCTTAAAGGCTTCAGAAAGCGCCAATAATGGAAGAAACAAATACTACTATTGGGACAAGACGAGAATGCAGTAAAATATACAGAAATGGTGTCATGAAAATGCTGCTATGAAAAAAATGTGTTATACCAATATTCAAAACATTAGTCTCTTTGATAAATTATTGTAGGAAATCATTTTATTTTATTTTAATTATATTTAAATTGAACTAAAAATTAAAACAATAAAAGTATAAATTATTTAATTTGCTAAAATAAAATATGCATAAATTACTCTAATATAATATAATATTATATAAAATATTTATATTATATTGATACAAGTAATAATAAATGATATTGTTTCAGCATAGACTTCATCATTTGTATTGTCAAGCCGTTCCCTTTTACATTTTCCCACGTACTATTGCTGACAAATATTACTCTTTCTTTCTCTCCCTCTGAACCTTAATGTTTTCTTTCTATTTATACTCGATTTTGAGTTACAGACTTCTAAAATCTATTTAAAGTAGATATTTAATTTTTATATTCAATGTTATATGCAGCCACTCGTTATATATCTTATTTATTATATATATATATATATATATATATATATATATATATATATAAAGACTTCAACGGTTATCATTGCTTACGCTAGTGTTTTGTATGGTTAAAATTCAGTATAAAATGTTAAAATTATAATTTATTTTAAAAATATTAGTTAATAGAAGTACTGTGTATATATGATAAAAAGTACATACAAAACGTGGAAAAAACACTTTAAACTAATATTAATTATAGTAACTAACTCAATTTATAATATAAAAATGGGCATTTTTAATAATACGTCAATTATGTTAAAAATATGACAGTACTCGATCAAAATGAAATTAAAAAAGAAAAATAGTCATGGATACAAATTTTTAAACAAAAACATATGCATTACATGTTCATTAAATAGTACCTTTTCGTTGCTAATTACTGTAGTATCTGACAAAATTTTCCTTTGACTTTAAATTTAAATACGAAACGTTCTAATAATGTAAATATAATGTTATAAGAAATTTATTAAATAAAAAATGAGTTAGAACAAAAAAATCTTCAAATTATATTGAGTGATTTAGAAAATGTTTTATAAATTAATTAAAAATTATCAGTCTTCAATAATTATATTCTCTTATTATTAAACAAATTTTATTTTACCTCTCTTTCATTTTGTTTTTTTAATGTATATAGTGTTTTTTTTTATGTATATAGGTTGAAATATCTTTTTAATTTTATTAATTTTATTCTTTATTGTCGAAAAAAAAATATTATTAAACAGATTTTAAACTAATCATCAAATCAGTATTTAAAATTAACTAATAAGGTATTAGTTATATTTAATCACTTAATTTAATAATCATTAATCCAATCTTTATAAATCATTTTTGTTTAATGTAAGTATATATAACTTGTACCGCAAGACTTCTCTCTATAAAGATAAAATCAGCACGGATGAAGATGAAGGAAAAGAGTATAAGAAAAGTTAAGTCATTTGACAAATATCATTCACCAACCACTTCACTATAAAATAGAACAATAAAATAAGGAAATAAATCCACCCCTATTTGACGCCATACACGAGTTTTTTTATCACCATAAGACTCACACTCTATTCATTTTTCCTAATTAAATAAACTAATAACTCTGTAGGTATAATTTGTACGTAGTTTTACATGAAGTCAAAGTGTAAGCTGAAATTTTATGAAGAGTAAAAATAAAAAAATTAAACAACGTATAAGTAAAAAAAATATAGAAATCTAATATCTTCGTTATTTGAGGAAGATAACTCGTGACCGTTGATGATATTTTGCTTGTGTCACCCTCAAAAGTACGAATCTGAACATATACTAGATATTTTGAAAAGAAATAGAATGTTTTTATAGGAGAAGAAATTGTGAAAAAGGAGGAATAATAGACAGTGAGAGTAGAGAAGAAAAGAAGTAAGGCGAAGGCTTGTAAATCATTTGCCACAACGACAGTGTTTTGGAAGGAAATGTGAGAGAAGAAATCAACTTCATAGCAGTAATGAAATATTAAGATTGATCATGTATCTTTTATCCAAGTCTGTCTGAGACATGTGATTCATAATTAATTAATGTTCTTTTCCACCGTTCGAGATGATTCTTTGAAGTTGAGTTACAGTGTTTTCATTCCCCAAACCATCTTTTTTTGGTGAAAGAAGCTTAGCTGACTTCTATTTTTGAGGGTCTTGGACTGGCGCATGCATGCAAGCGCGGAATCATTGCCTTGTAAGCAACTTATTCAATGTCACGTCTTCTGCTTTTGCATGAAAATGTTATAATTATGCAGTATCTTTCTGCAGATATACCGTGTCTGCATGTCTTAATTTTTCTGCATTCAAAAGACTAGTTAATTGATTGGATCTAAATCGTTTAAAATAGCTCAAAACTCTGAACCAAGTGTGGCCACAAGGCTTGCATGTGGGGTTCAACGACTTCATGAAGTTCACCAACCTTATGAATTTCTGTCCACATATTTTCCTGTAGATATCACTGACAGAAAACAAAGTAAACCACACGGCCAATAATCTATGCCAGCATGGGGTTTGGTGAGATGCGAATATATATATGTAGTGGGGTACGTGTGAAAGGTAAATTTGATTTTTTCTTTTACTATAACGTAACCATAGTAAAGCAGTAACAACATAGTAAAAAGGACCACTTATTGACTTACAAATACAACAATTGGTATATAAATACCAATTTTGCCGTATTATCCTCCGAGTGTTTGTCTGAAACATTCTCCAAATTTAGA